ATTCCATTGATGGCAAATCAGTCCGACCTCCAGACTCGAAGATTAAAGCAATAGTGGACTTTCCGACACCGATCGATCAAAAGGGAGTTCAACGTTTTCACGGACTGGCCAACTATTTACGCGAATACATTCCCGACTTCGCAGCAATCACAGCACCACTTACATCACTCATGAAGAAATCTAAAGTCAAAGAGTTTGAATGGACCGATCAATGTGATCGATCATTCAATACATTAAAACAACTAATGGCATCGGAACCCGTCCGCGCTATCTACAATCCGGACATACCGATCGATCTACACACAGACGCGTCAATTATTGGAATAGCAGGTATCCTTTTACAAGCCGATCGACCCATTGGTTACTATTCAAGAAAGCTTGCCGACGCCGAAACCCGATACACGGTCACCGAACTGGAATGTCTGGCCGTCTATAATTCAATCAGATACTTCCGTATCTATCTGGAAGGAGTCAAGTTCACCCTCTATACCGACCACAAGGCTCTCAAATGGCTAATCAACTTCCAGTCGACTAAAAAACGACTCTTCCGCTGGTCTGAAGAGTTAAGTCTCTACACATTTGAAGTAATACATAAACCGGGATCACAAATGGCTCACGTCGACGCCCTATCCCGCGCTCCGGTAAACCTATTCATCAGAGAAGCAGTGATACTACAGCATCAGAAACAGGACACCGAAACCAAAGTGCGATATGAAGCACCTGCTCGAGCGATCACATCGATCGATCCAAACGATAAAACACCAGAAGCAGATCGATCAACATTCAGCTCAGTGGACACGTCCACACTTCAATCGATCATCAAATATGGACGTAACTTATCAGTGATTCCTCCCAGTCTTGTCTACCCATTACTTCAAGTAGCACACGACAACAGTGGTCACCCTGGCATCCGAATCACTACAAAACAAATAAAAGTAAAGTATCACTGGCCCGATATGATTCACGACATCAAGCAATATGTCAAGTCATGCCATATATGCCAATTGGCTAAACCAACTAATCATCCATCATATGGACAGCTCCAACCACTTCCGACACCTGATGCACCACTAAAACTTATAGCTATGGATACTATAGTTATGGGCAACGAAGCCGCCAACACTAGACATAAATATATACAGGTTGTGATCGATCATCACTCCCGACATGTATGGACGAAAGCTACGCCTACCAACTCAGCACCTGCATGTATATCCCTATTGATCGATCTCATAAAAGGAACTGGACAAACACCTGAAGCCATACTTACCGACAATTACAAGACATTCAAATCAAGAGATTTTAAACGCTTTTTATCCAAACATCAAATCAGACATCGATTCTCATCAACATATCATCCACAAACTAACGGCACCAACGAAAGGGTGAATGGATCAATCAAACAGGGATTGATTCTGGCATCACTGGCAAACCCTCGCCGCAAATGGACTACCCTATTAAAGGATGTGACAGCTAATTATAATAATACTATACATATCGTTACAGAATACTCGCCGTCGTTCCTTATGTTTGGCTCCGATTCTCTCAATACAACCGACAACTTACCCGATGCCCGACAACTGGCCAAACAACGCACGGATAGTAGTAAATCAAGAGCTAAGATCGCTTACGACAAACACCATAAGCCGATCGATCTAAGGATCGATCAATTGGTCAAACGGCGCCTACCATCAAATCATCCGGACAAGAAAAAACTATCACCGAAATATACAGGACCGTATGTCATCGCATCAATACCCGGACCTGTCAACGCTTACATCAAACCATTGGACAACTCAACCGACCCGATCCTGGTTCACGTCGGACAACTTGAATCGTATTACCTCCGCGACCAGTCTTAAAGCGCCGGGGAGTGTTGAGAAACTCATATTTCATATATTATTTAGCCTTAATTTTAATGTTTAATTTTTGTATTATTTTATTGATACCTATTTTTGTGCATTTAATCCCTTATTTTGAATTCATTAATTATTTTGATCGCTCAATACCTACCGTTTCCTATGATTGATCGATCAATGACACCAATTACTGGCGCCAAGTGATCGATCTATACAACTGTCCTTATATTCAAACAAACCAATAGCTGTACGCCAAATACCTATACCTTCCTCTCATATAAATACCAGTACTGACACACCAGACAGTCAGTGCAATCTCACCCACCATTACAGTGCAATCTTACCCACCATGACTATCAGTCATTATACTGTATACACCATTGCATTCACATACATGTGCTCTTAAATATATACCATTTTTATACCATTGTTTTAACTACTATTTTAATTGTCTTAACTATAATAAAGTATTGTAACTAAACTGTGTCTAAGTTATTGTCTTCACTGAAACATTGGATCGATCATCACATCCACACCATCATCCACCTCAAGCATTGTCTGATCGATTACCACTTAAAGTCTACCATTTCGCTGGCCATCCATACAAGTTATCGAAGTTATCAATAGTACTAACGGATCGATCCCTGGCCTACACTCCGGTCACCACTACTGCAGATCTGTACATCATTTTGTTTGACACGAATAGTGCCTTTCAAGTGATCACTAAATCAATTGGGAAGTCTTTGACCGATCAATTGATACCGTTGTGGGAATTGAGTGATACTATCAGTTGTTGGTCTCATACCGACCCACGCTAGACAACTGATCCATAGGTTAAACCAAACCGCCCACAACAATTTAAAATAAAATTATATAATTACAGTAAATAAGACGCTTCTAAATTTATTTTGATATTTAGAGTAAACTATAGAAAAATATATGTAAAATAAAATAATAATATATTAAAAGCAAAACTTTTTAAATACAATAAAAATATAACAAAAATTAGTTAAATAATTATAAGAAATTATCAATCAGTGATAATTGTAAGACTACTACCAGATTCAACACTAYATTGTAGAGTACGACAAATTAGTGGTCATTATCTCAGGTATTGAAATATAAATTTATTTCTCAACAATTATTATTATATAAAAATAACACACAATTTTTTGCTAATAATAATACTAATTAAATGTAAATAATGAATCCATCTAGTGATTGTAATTTAAATATACTGTAAGTTTTGATTTGATTTTAATATTATTTATACAAACTATAATTTATATAATAAATTTATACACGATATTTTATAGCTGTAAACGCATATATCGGTAAAAATATAATATATAATTGACAACATGTATGACCAGATACCAGATTCCCTTAATTTATGACTTTATGAATTCAAATTATTACATTATGACACACCCTTTCCATGAATGTTGAAAAATTGTTTTTCCTGAGAGGACAGTCATAGACCGCTCAATGAAGACAAGTCACTATTGAGTCAAAACGGTAATCGTGCGGTCAGTGACCAGATATACTATTTAGTCCTACATGTTGTCAATACTTTAAAATTAATATTTCATCAATTTTTTGAAAAAAATTATTAACTCTTTTTTTAGGAATAACTTACTATAAATATTTGAAATTTATTATTCAATTAAAAATTACAATATAATAAGCAATATATATATATATATATATATATATATAAATATATACTGTATATATATTTAAAGTATAATTTATTTTTATTTCATAAAAATATTAAAATTCTACGATTATTATATTAAAGTTTGTCAAACTTAACTAGTTTCATAATTTCAAAAATTATACATACAGTAAATTATTGCTAAGTTATTCTTTYAAAAAAATAAWAATTATTCATTAAATATATATATATATATAAAATAGTATTGATAAAATTATATGTATTATTATTTTTTATGATAACATTTATTATAAATAAGTTTAAGTTTAAAAAAAWAAATGTCTTATAATAAACATTTGCATCTATTTATAAATTCAATTTAAATATCTTTTAGTTGTAAATCATTGGAATAAAATTAATATTATAAATATTATTTATAGAGTTTAACAGTATATATATATAAAAAATTATAATATTAAAATATCTAAAATTGAATACATCAATATATTTAAAATATGTTTATCAATCATAATAACAAATTTATCATTGAATGTCATAAAATGTTTTTTTGACAAAAATTTCCATATCAAAAAATTGTCTAATTATTAATATGAACATGCACATTTTGTTTGTTCAATGTTCTACTTGCGTATGCATGTGTAATATTTGGCGCAAATATTTATCAAATTTATGTAAATTTATTCTCATTAAAAAAAATTCAAAACTTAAATTAAAATAATTTTATTATTAATTATAAAAATTATTATTTTTATTGTTGTTAATTAAAAATTAGTTAAACAAAAATATAGAATATTCTATTTTTAGAAATATATTATTATTTTGTCATCATGCTAAATTATTCTAACGTATTATATGAATGTCCTGGCACAATTTGACAATTAATACATTTTTTTTAGTTAGAAACACATAATTTATGTAATGTATAAAAACATGGTATAAAAGTTTAATGGAAAATATGACGTAACGCTAGTAATAATAATATTATTATAATAATAATGGATTCACTTTATAACGAATACATTGAGCACATGTATGTCTATACAAATATAATATTTCATACCTAATGTATAAGTTTAACATTAGTATAACTATCTATGTATGACGTATAGCAACGTTTAATGTGTGTCTATCTACTGGAAGCATGGCTTTACAATACGACTCGTCGACGCAATGCATTGCAATGCACTGTACTGTAGGCTAACACACATAATATGAGCGCAATTGTAACGTTAAGACTGTAGAGTCAATACAATACACACACAGTGTATATGTATTACACTTTACATTTGAGAAGAGGGAGTACTGGCAGTACAAACACACTGTATATGTGTGTAATAGTCTATATGTGTGTGCAGTGTATGACCGCTAATACAACAGTACTACTAATACATACTCTACTGTCAATCGATTTGACTCTCGCTATACAATCAGTGAGTGAGTGAGTGAGTCATACATTGAGTCCATAACTACTGTATTACTACAACTACACCATTACTAGTGTCACACACACTGCACACACACAGTGAGTGAGTGAGTGAGTGGAGTGTAGTGTTAAATAAAATACACTCATATATAATAATAGTGTGATTTCACTAATTTTTTGGTTAATTTTGTTTCCATTTTTTTATATATAATTTTAAACTCCGAGTATTAAAGATCAAAATTTTTAGTTAATTCAACAAAATTTAATAGTAATAGTAATATATTTTAGTGATATATATATACAATACAGTGTKTAGTATACAGTATTGTAACACACAATGACCGAAAAAATGAAGCAATCATCACATCTAATGTAATATAATTATATATATATTTATATATATATATACAGTGCAACATCATATTGTTGTAGTGGACGCCCCCACCCGTATACACCCACCACCCACTCACAAGAACCCACCGGCAATTGAAATATGGTGTCCGTTGTCGACAATAATGGTGGCCGCAAATGGTTACGAATCTGTTATAATGAATGTAATAATATATATATATATTAATATACAATACTATGTTATCTCTATATTGTCTATTGCTGTCTATGTATGTATAGTACATACATGTGTGTATATATATGATACATGTATATATTGCGCGCCCTAATAATAATAATACATGTCTAAAATTGTTTTAAAATTTCGATTATATTAATTTAATTAATTTCAATACTAATTTAATTAAATCCGATAATTTATTAAACAATCCAATATATATTTATTATTATTTAATCTATAATATCAATCAAACAAATTAGTCAATTATTATTTAGTGTGTGTTTGCAGTTAGTTTGTGACCCAATATTTTTGTTGTTGTTGTATGTGTTTGTGTCACACATTTTTGTGTCGGTTATCTCACAAACACTTAATATAAATAACAACAAAACACAAAAAATATATATAAATTATTTAATAAATATAAAACACAATAATAATAATGTTTTTTGAATTTATTTGTTTAGGTTTATAACACAAACACACTCACAGACAGATTGTTTAGATTATTATTATTTACTAAATATTATTAAATAATTAGTTGTAATAAGTTTTGTCCGATTTTTGTTAAACCACTTATTGATTGAATCAATAGAAATGTCAACACAAATGTCAAATTCAATCAACAAATCAGCCGATAGTCAGTCAATGTTATTGTTTTTGTTGAGTGCTTTGCATACGATATATGAGTCGTATTATTAGTTCTAGTCATAGGTTATCATATGAATGGCTAATAAACTATTAGTCATTTACTCTATCTATTGATAATATAAAGGATATTAGTATTAATTGTTTAATACTTTTTTCATTATTATGACTATTGTTTCGTTTATTATTATTAATAGTATTATTGATATTATAAAACAATTAACAATTGATTTACTAATGTATTGTTTGTTTGTAAATAATCGCAAATCAGTCGCCAATAGGTTTGTGAGACCTCGAGTCAGCCACCGATAGGCCAGTCGTGTGTCGGGTCGGGCTTTATAACCTAACACCCCATCACAACACACACACACACACACACACTCCTAATACACTCTCATTAATCGCTAATCGGACCGTCCTATCGATTGCCGACGCAATACTGGTTAATCATTGCTGTGTTGGTAGTGATATCGTTGTCGGTAATCGTTTTGTTGTCTTCATCTGTGAATGAAAAGCAAACGCCGAGTAAAGACATTGTTGAACTACAACAGAACATCACCATTGATTAAGTCGATGACAATGAAACTGACAAAACAGCGAATGACCAGACGTTACTATGCCGGCGGTACTCCCGAGGCCACCGACGCGCTTACCGATTGGCTCGAAGAACAATTGGACAGCCGCGGCATCGACGCCGTGGTTTATACTCGATATATACTTAGTCTACTGCAGGACGACATTACTGATGACGAAGATGACAGCAATGGATCTGTTGCCACTACGGGTATATCATTAAGCGATAGTCGGTGTTCGTGTAAATTGGATGGACTGAAACCGGTCACAACCAATAAATGGAAACATCGACGATATATCAAACAATTGAAGGCTAATAATAACAACAACAATAGTATTATCAATAATAATAATTACGGCGATAACGATGAGGGCAACTGTTGGACACACTCTGAGTATTGCAATGCCATGAATGGAGATGAAGAGCGAAAGATGGCTGTCGTCCAGTGCTTGAAATCGGCATCTGAACAGGTATTTGGTTTTGTGAACAAGGATTTGATGGCTTATTGTTGTTATAATTGATTAATAACTAATTTTTTATATCTTTTTTCTGTTGAATCGCAGGAGTTTGGTATCGAGTCATTTGTGGACGAATTGTGCGCTAAACTCAAGAAACTCAAGTCATTGTCCGATAACACGAATGAAATAAAAACAGACTTACAGTCAGCTGATGCTACAAACAATAGTAATAATAATAATAATKGCATTAAAGTGTCACCAAAAGAGATGGCCAAGAAATACTACGCAGCCTTTCCCTCATTGGACACCAACAGCACTGTCAATGGCAAGAATTCAGCGATAAAAGTAGACACTATTGCTAACGAAGGAAGTAAAGAGAAGATAAAACAAATGATTAGGTCTAGAGATAGGAACAAATGGAACGGACAAAAGATTATTGAATTTATGACCAGTTCGACAGCCAATGGATTATCGACTATAAGCGCTCCACAATTGACTACATCTGTAGCTGCGGTCAACTCTAAAAGTCATTTATCATTAGTTAGTTGTCCACTACTGGACACAGCRGCAGACAAACTAAGCAATGATAATCAGTCAATAATGAGTGTCGTCGACGGTTCGGATATTATTAAAGATCCGATAAAAGTGGACAAAGTTTTATATTGTGAAGAAATCGAGAGCACTGTTTTAGGTAAATGTGACAACAAATCAGACAACACTAGTCTAGTCAACAGCACTGAGAAGACAATTGGCAATACAAAAGCAAATCAATTGGTTTCGGGAATGGGTGGCGAAGAGATTGAAATTTTCCAGCGATTGGTCGACAAGTTTAACAGCAATATAGCGTCGATTTGGCCGAAAACCAGCGACAACACAGCAGTCAACTGTTTGCCGACCAAAGCGGAAAACATTTGGAGCTTTGACTCGTCATTCTCGTCAAATCAATCGTCGGCCACTCCTAGCCCTAAGTCGTGCACAGCTCCTGATATTTGGTCATCGATGTCGATCGGTATTAATGAGAAACCTGTTTCGAAAAACRATTTATACACTTTTCATGGCATGAATTGGGAAGAAAAGATATTGAAGTCGTTTGAAGTATTTCCTGACGACGATGGCTTTATCGATGGTACTCACGATTTGATTGATGAAGAGTCCAATTGGATGTCTTGCAATACAGAAAATAAATCATATCTCGAAACAGCAACTTCTTGTGCTGTCATTTCTTTACAGAATCACCAGAAAAACAGTCCGTTCAGACAGTTTAGTTCATTAAGTTCAACATCGACGCCGAAGTCCAACGAAAAAGACAACCAATCTTCACAACTTTCAAAGTTACTATCAATGGTATCACTGCTGAACAATAAGCCCTATAATTTGAGTCCACCACCCGATGAGAATTTGTTGACATCTCCACGAACTCACTTTCAGCCCATAAAACAGGATTCATTCGATAGGGACGAATCAGACGATGGCTCGATAATTGATGGCACGGATCACGAGATTAAAAATTTGGTCATTTGTTCCGATAAATGTCCCAACAATGTTAACAATAATAACTCTATCTATGATGATAACAATGTTGTGGTTTCACTCAAATTGCGTCCACTGTCCACATCGTTGGACGAGTTGGCCTCATATATTGGTCCATTTGATTACGATTACGGTCCCAATGAAATTGTCTCCGCGCTGTCCATTAGCGATGAATTTAGTCCCGTATTAAAGGAAAACAAAATGAGGTATAAGAACTAATAATTACATAAATATTTGTAATGTTTTTTTTAACTAATAAAATGAATATTATCTATTATAGCGATAAATCGACTAACACTGAGAGAGAAGTGCAGTTGGAGGAGGAACTAAAGTTAGAGCCGATAGTTGAGGCCAACACTCAGATTGAAACCGAACCCGAATATCAGGATTTGTATAATATGATTAACGAAGTCTTGCGTAACGGTATTTCAGATTCTGAATTACTCGCTGACTGTACTAATTCATTATCAACTTTGGATGATTGGTACGATTCGGACTATGATAACAATGGTAATATTGGCGGTGATGTGGTATTAAACTGCAAGAGTGGCGAAAAGCGGCAATCATGGAACTACTATTGGGATACCTATGATATGGATAGCGGCGATACACCATTGTCGACAAAAAACGGTAATAAACCGAACACTGTGTTCACTGGTCCGCAGTATTCGGCATTTGCAGTCCAGGATGTGGTAAATGAGGCCAACGATGACGTGTTTGACAATAATGATTATTACGATGATTTGCCATTTCAAGTGGCAAAGCATCCCGAAGATAAATGTAACACCAAAAGTATTCGCAATTACGTGGATATGATATTTAATAAGTTAGACACAGACTCGGAACTGCATCGTTATAATGGTTACGATCCACGAGACTCATCATCACCTTTAGGATCAACTTTTCAATTAAAGCCACGACTCGCTGATTGTGAGTATTATTGATTAGTTTATAACATTTTTTATATTACCTGTGATATTATGATTTGTATAATTAATAGCTTTTTATTATTATTACACAACAGTTGCAAAGCACCGACAAAAACCGTGTTCTTTCTTTATCGATGGTAATTGTATGAGAAGTGACTGCAAGTACTCGCACGATATCGGCTCCATTACCTGCAAGTATTGGGAGGAAGGGTTCTGTTTTAAAGCTGAATTATGTCCATTTCTTCACGGATACGCCGGGTAAGTGTTAGCTTATATTATATTTATTGATTGATATTAACTGATTGTCTTATTTGCTAACAATAGTGATGACGACAATAGTGACAGACAGTTGTTTCCCTTATCGACGTCGAAAGAAATGTATACAATTGAATCAGAGTCGGACTTTCCTTCACTGGCCATCAATGTCAACAATAACGACGATTACGGTGACAACAATTCATCAGTTGTTTCGTCGTCTGACTCGGAGTCGACATTAGCCGCGACTAACGCCACTTCTACAGCTCTACTCGAACAACACTTTTTCAATTTTCGGACCAAATCGGTGTCAGACAGTACAGCCACTAACAGTCTGTCCAAAGCCAAACTGCCGATCACTGTTGTCATGAAGAAGAAGGTTAAGAAACGAAAGGATCGTAATCTGCAATAAGTTTGTGAGAGTTATATATATATACAAAAAAATATATTGATTTGATCTGTCATTTGTTCATTTAATTCATTCATTGAATTTCATAATTTGCATATAGTTTGCAATTATTTTTAAAACATCTAAAATACTTGAAAATACAAATATATACACATTTTTTCATACACACACTAATATTGCCCGCAATTTTTGTTTTTAAAGGCAATATACTATTTTTGTCTCATTTTTAATAATCAATAATATTTATCGTATATATATTTGACTTTTTATATATGCCATAAAATATATGTTTTAAAAATGAGATCAAAAATAATGTGTTTAAAAATATGATATATTTTTAAAGTTTTTGAAATTCATAGCACCTAATGGTTAATAGTTATTATTATAACTTTAATTAATTAATAGCTATTTATAGATGAAGAAAAATATTTGTTTTATTTGTTTTTATTATCATTATTATTATTATTAATATATTTTATTCATTTAAAAAATGTTGGATAGGATTTTTGAAAGTGTTATCAATTGATTGATTGATTAATTGAATAGGTATAGAATGAAATGTATGTTTAAGTTGTTTTTTTCTAATTAAGTAATTGTTTTATGTATGAATACAACTGTCCATTTGAATGACTATTTCTGTCATCTATGGCCTTATGAGATGCAAATGTCTATAAGAGTGTTATTGATGTCAATGATTATCATATGATTAGTAGTTTATAATTAAGAGATTTATTAGTTATCTTAAGTTATATGTTGAGTACAGTTACGTGAATTGTTTGATATTATTTATATATAAATATTATTTATATTTATTTATAAAAGAATAATAAAAATAGCAGAAAATTGGTTAAAAATTTAATGAAATGTTTTGATTTGTGTTTGTTTTTAAGTGACAGATATTTTTCATATGATTTTCATTATTATATTTGTTTTTTATTGTTTTAAAAGCTTTATTTTTCTTTATCCATATTCTCTGAAATAATTTGTTTAAATTTTTTAATTCATTTTTTTTCCTGTATTTCTCTTTTTTATTATTATTATTACCACATAATTAAAAAAATTTTCAGTTATTTGAGTGAACATTGAATGATAAATAAATAAATAATAATAATAGTGAGCGCACTATAAGTTTTTTTAAAAATGTATCTACAAATATCTCATATATTTTTAATAAAAAATAATAATAAATACTATTATAATAAAAAAAATTAAAAATAGTTTCAAAAATTTCAATAAAAAATAGTATTTTAATCCATTTCTAGTCATATCTCTTACACAAACATACAAAAAAAACATATTAAATATATAATATTGAAATACATACTGAATATTGGATATTATTCTATATATATCATATAATTATGTAATTCATCAATTATATATTAAATATATATTTCAAATATATTTTAAAAATAGTTAACTGTCATGATTTGGCAAATTTGTTTGCAATCATAAAATCGTATTGAATTTATCATGGTTATTTTGATCATCAATTCATACTTTTATTGTTAACGACATTAACTTATATTAATAATAATAATAAATTCGATATCTATATAAATACAAAAAAATACAAAAAAAATCATATTTCATATGTTAACTAAAATAATAATTAGCATTTTTTATTGAAACATAAGCTAATTATAAATATATTTGAATATTTATTATGAGTTAGTTATCGCTTATATATTTATTCAATATATTTAACACTCGTAATATGCTGTTATAATATACAGTATACAACATTAATAATAATAATAATATTAATTATTATTTCTATCTACTTATCGATCAAAATATACACACATTTGAAAAACAATTTCAAAATTTTTCACTAAAATATTTTTTAAAGAAATTGTATTTTATTTTTGTGTTTAGTGACATATATATATATTAAGTACACTTTTTGAAAAAAAATATTTTTTTGTGAAAAATACAGTAAAATCACATTTAAAATTTCACTATTATTTTATTATACAGTAATTATATTATTATTATTATTTTATGAAGAATTCTCATCTCAATTGATTAAAAATTAATCAAAAGAAAAATCATTTATAATTATATTATTCATTAACTCATTAGTTAATTATTATTATTTTTAATTTGAGTATATATTTAGTGCAAATTGTATCTCTAATGATGCTCTAAAAAACTGAATGAAATAATAAGTTTTTAAAATATTGTTTCTTTCATTGTTTTAACTAATTGAATGCACTAATATATTTACTTACTATAAAAATTATTATTTAATTTATAATAAAAAATAATAAATTGATTTTTTTCATGAATAATTGATAGATAAACATGTGTTATAAACATGAAAATAGTCTATTTTTAATTTTGACTAGTTTATAGCACATGTATGTTAGGATAAATATTAACATAAATATTACATAATTTTTTTTGTATCAATATATTTAAAAAATATAATTATTAGTTTCAATAACTAATTCAATTAAATTAGTAAAATTTTTTGTTTAATAAACAATTTTGCTTTGATATTATTTATATGTCAATTTTAATTTTGTTTATTATTAATGTTTTTTAAAATAATTAATTATTTATAAAAACTATATATATATATATTAAAAATATTGTTTGTTTTTTTTGTTTATTTTTTGAAAACATACAAAACATATGCTGTGATTAAAATATATATATATATTAAGCGTAAATATAATGTGAAGTGTTTATCAAAAAAAATATATAATTAAAATATATATATATTTGGAAAACACATATAATTAGCGGACCATCCGTTTGGTATCTGTGCTATGATTTAAATAACATGATTGCCAATCGCTATAAAAGAGTATATATATATATATATTTAAGAGTTTAGTTGGAAATCCATGATTTAGAAATATTCTGGTATTGAATTAGATGTTGTTTTCAAATATAATTACAATTTATTATTAATCAATAAATTATTAATATTTGTAATCTCTCTGTCCTAACACTCACTCACTTTCTCACAAAAAACACATTATTCCATATAATATGAAATAGTATTATATATATAACCTATATTTCAGCCTTAAATGCAAATTATGAAAATAAAACAAATATTATTGTAACTGACACTGTAATTACCAGTTTTATTAGCGATAACATTGTTATAATTTGTATCGTTAACATAATGAAAAAATTAATTAATATCAATATATTGAGTTAGTGAGTGAGTAAGATATCGTGGGTAACAATTTCTAATTATAATAATGTTAACGTTAAAAACTGGTTTATAAAAAAATATATAAAGAATATTCTGTGAAATTGATATGAGGTATGATTTATTGAAGAAAATTATTTAAAATATATAATTTTTTGTTAAACTAATACATACTATGAGGAATATACAAATAATAGTATATATGATTATGCAAATCAAATGAAAACAAAATAATATTAGTTTTTAAAAAATATTGTCAACAAATAATATAAAATTTTTGAATAGAAAAAACACACAAAACAAGTGAATTATAACAAAATTGTTGTAAATTTTAGTTAAAAATAGTAATAATAATAATAATGTTTTTCTCAAATGAAAAAGCAAACAAATCGACGAGTATTTTAATTAAAATATATTAATAACATTTAAAAATAATTATTATTTTTTAAAAAAATTTGATCAATAATTATAAATATTAAATAACAATTACGCTAATTAAAATGATATTATAAACTTTCTAATTGTTTGAAATATTTGTTTGCTTTTTCATAATTAAATAATAATTGTTAAAATATAATAATTGATCTAATAATTAATAATTGAATTAAAAATATAAATGTTAACAAACATTCTTTAAAAAATGATAAAACRATAATTGAATTAATGTTTAAAAAAAACAACAGTTTATAATAAGAATAATTTTTCTGTAACTAAATCTAAATCAATATCTAATAATTTATTTGAAATCAATCCTAATGTTAACATATTTAGATAATTAATGAAAAAAATAATGATTAAAAAAAAGTTTGAAAAAATAATGAAATAAAATAAAAACGTTAAATCTGATTACAACCAAACAAACATCATGTGTCAATTTATTTATTTATATATTTAAATTATATTAATATATTTATTTTTACTATTAATTTTTATTATTTAATGATTTAACCCCTAAATCTAATTGTTGTGCGATTTGTATAAATAGTACAGTAAGTGCATATAATATAAAATTTATAATAAATTGTTTGCTAATTTAGGAGTTAAATTACGGCATTTTTCAAGTATAACTTTAATAGATTTTTATAATTAGTAAAGAAATAATTATATATTTACAATTAATTAATAATAGGGAATAAATGTATTTTATAAGGACTCACCTAACCTAACCTTACTAAACTAACCTAAACTAAACTGTAATATAAGTGAATATCAACAATGTGAGTCCTTATAAAATAAATTTATACCAATAATAGAAATTGTTAGAATTATTTTAGAGATTAAAAATATAGAGTTTGTAAATCAGTTTTTTTAAATGGTTTAATGAGTGTAGGTTTACGGTAAGTATAAAACAATATTTGTCTTAAAATTATTTGAAACATTTTATCTAAAAAAAAATTAGATATGATTTGTGTACGAAATATATTAATATATAWATTTATAGTTAAATCAAAAATAAAATGATAAGAAAATAAATTTTATGGATAATCTTAGAGTCGATGGCATTGAAGCGCCCAATGATATGATATGATATGATATATGAGAYGATAAAAAATTTTGGTGAAAAACTATCAGAAAACTTATTGAAAATTTTGTTATAGATTGTAGTGACAGCTATTTGAGAGCCATGTCGTCAGTTCAACAAATCAATCTAAATGACGGCCACTCAATGCCAATGGTCGGCTTCGGTACCTATGAAGCTACCGGTGCCGACATTCGTGTTGCCATTCGGGCTGGTTATCGACTTTTCGACGGAGCCGATTTCTATGGCAACGAAGCCGAAGTTGGTGCAGCCCTACGCGCGGCCATTGCTGCCGGCGAAGTGATTCGCGACCAATTGTTTGTGGTGAGCAAAGTTTGGCCAAATTGGTTGGCTGCCGGCCGACCGACATTGAGCGCTGAACGGACACTGCAAAACTTAGGTCTCGATTACGTGGATCTACTTTTGATTCATTGGCCGACACCGTTCAAACAGGTTGACGACGACTATCATCCCGGAGCCAGTGATGGTCAGGTATTGTTCGACGAAAGTATTGAATTAGCGGACGTTTGGCGTGAGTTTGAACTAATCAAACAAAAAGGTTTGCATTTAAATAAACATTTTTTATAATGACTAATATATTCCTTTCCCTCCCAAACCTTGAAACGGATATTTTCTTTTGAAAGGTCTCACCCGTTCTATCGGTGTGTCCAACTTTAATGCCCGTCAAATACAGGATCTGATTGATAAATCCTCAACCGTACCGGCCGTCTTGCAGGTCGAGTCGCACCCGTACTTCGCTAACACACAACTATTGCGGTTCTGTCAGCAAAAGGGCATCGCTTTTATCGGTTATTCGCCTCTGGCCACTACAGGACCAAACAAATCGCTTGTACCGCCCATACAATTGCCGTTGATCCGCGAGTTGGCCAAAAAGTACGGCATCGGTGATGCTATTGTCATACTTCGATGGCAAGTCCAACGAGGAGTCACAGTTATACCGAAAAGCTCGACACCCGAACGTATTGCGGCCAACATTCGGCTCTTTGACTTCAAGCTGACCGACGACGAGATGACAGCTATCGATGGACTTGACAGGAACTACCGGTGCCATCCCTGGACACACTGGGGTATAGGTAAGCATAAGAACTATCCCTTTAGTGACCCTTTTTGATTGCATCGATAATTGGATTTCAACAAAAAAAAATATTTACTAATTATTTACTAATATTTTTGTTGTTAATATAAATTATTCAAAATTAATATTTAAATTCTGATATTTAGAAATAAACCCTTATTTAAGCTATTATTCAAAATTAATATTTAGATGAAATTAGTTTATAATTGATAATAAAATTTATTTGATGTCTATTAAATGCAGGATTTTTAATATTGATTTTATAAATTAAAAATTTAAATTTAATTATCAAACGAGTTTTATGTAAAAATTATTTATATTTTATATTATTTTAAAATACTGTACGTATGTGTTTTAGTGATGTAATAGTGTAAATTAAAATAACATTGAAAGTGAAATTGCATTTTATATTATGGCATAACAACTAATATAAAAAACATAAAACCATTAAACATGATTTGATATAAAACATATAAAAATTTTTGTTACGATATTATTTTACATACATATTATTATTATTATTAATAGCCAACAACTAAATAATTTTTTATTTATTATATGTTTTATTAATATTATTATAATAAAGTCATATGATTAAATCAAGTCTAATGTAATAATAATACTTATGTATTGTAATTACTAATAAATATTTTATTATTAATATATTCTCGTATGAATGTACTACTAATGTATGCAACTTACTGTAGATTGGATTTGAACTAAATAAACAAATAAAATATATAGAAATGTTTATTTATTAAAAAACATTAAAAAAAATGTTTATCATATTTTTTCTCAATTAATTTGAACTACTTATAGCAACTATCGTCAATGTGTATAAACAGTACTGTATGTACAGTATGTATGCAATACTACTTGAAGTTTATATATCGAGTATTATAAATGTGATAAAAATATATAAATTGTATGATTCGTATATAACTGATATTATAATATAATATTTTTTATWAGTTATAAAAAATGAAAATCTTAGTTTATGTTTGTGTTTTTTGATATACATTATATTATATATGATATTTATTTTATCATCAAATTATGTCTAGGTAGTATTTGTTTTTTAGTATTTGATTTAATTATATAATATTATAAAAACCACATGACTTTCAAGTATTTGTTTGACAAAAGTCTACAAAAGTCTACAAAATAATTAATTAATTAATTTTTCGTAAAACTTAAATAATATTTCAATGACAATTTTTTAAACATTAATTTTATTATACAGTACTCGTTTATTGCCATTATATTAGTAATAAAATTATGTAATTAATTATCATAATTAATATTACTGTATTATTATTAATAATAATATTATGACAATAAAATCAACACTTAAATTGTGACATTTTTTTGATAACTAAGTATTACTTGATTCCTTGATTACTATCTTGAATTGTTTTCAACATAAATAATAATAATAATAATTTTTATTATATTAAAAAATAAGTTTTTTTTKATTTAAAAGTCGACTCTTGAGACAYAAACATCAGTCACTAAATGGATTCGTTTCCAGAGTTAAGAAACTATTACTTAAGCGAAATGAATAGCGATCTAACACTTGTGGTTGAAGGCCATCGATTGCCGGCTCATCGGTTTGTTTTGGCCGCCAAGAGTCCAGTGTTTAATGCCATGTTTTACGGCGACCTAATGGAAAGTACGGCCCGAGAAGTGGACATTCGGGAGGCGCCGGTCGATGCGTTCAGAGTTATGCTCCGTTATATCTATAGCGAACGTTTCGAGATGGACAACGATAAAGACTTTCAACAGGCAATACAAGTGTTCAAACTTGGGCACAGGTATCAATTGCACCGACTGGTACAGTACATCGAACAGTATCTAATTACTATGCTAAAAAAGCATAACTATATACGACTGAGCGACACCATTACCAGTGCCTCCTATGATGACTTTCTCCGGAGTCGTCGATTTGATAATAGTTTACTATCAGTGATCGATAACATCGCCACTATCTATGAGTTTGCTGTACTCTATGAGCTRACAGAACTGGTGAATGCGTGCCAACGGTTTATCGCCAAAAATAGTAAACTGATTGTCAAAAAGAAGTCCTATTTGACCGAAAGTTTCGATACCATGGAGTCTATACTCGGTCTGATGCAAACCAATCCGGCCGTTATTGTACAGGCGCTACAAAAGATACGTGACCAGCATCCCGGTGCCGATATGAGCCAATTTGAACGACTCGTTAATTTTGATACCTGTTCAGTTGATGACATCCAGAGTGTTCGTACGATCCGATTGTTCAGCGATGACAAACTGTTTGATGTACTCATTGCTAAATACAARACACTACAGTTAGAGATGAACAAAGTGGTCAAAGATAGGCGGGCGTGATAAAGATGACTGTCCATTATATTTAAAAATTTAGTAATTTAATTGTAAATATTTTTTCCTAATTATTTTTTTTTGTTAATAATGTGATAATAATGACAACTGATAAAAGCATATCTATTATATTGTATTCATATTTCATTAATTTTAAAATTACGACAATTTCTTCGAAAATWAAGTAATAATTATATTTCACTTATCACTTGAGTTAGCAATAAAAACAATTATTAATAATTGATATTAATATCAAGTATTGGAAAGTTTATTATTGTTTACCACATAAATCAAAATCAAATTTTTATTACTAATGTATATTGATAAATTAAAAATAAAGTTTAGTATAAATATATATAAAAATGATAATACAAAACTTGTATACTATTTATAATTGACATTTTAGTCTAAATAAGGACTTGGATGACAAACAAGACACTGTTTGTTACACTCAACTGTCCAACATTGAAGACAATAATAAAGACCACACTTAGTTTCGGGACATTTGACATAATCGGCGCTTGTCTTGAGTTTTTCATCGCAAACAATACATTTTTTAGTGGATAAAAATGATATCAACTTCTGCAGGCATTTGACCAAAAACGGACAGTTTCTGTCATTTAAATAGCCGTAAAAGTAGGCACCACTTGGAAGCTGACCTTTTGAATAGTCAAACAGTTTGTCGGCAACCATTTGGCGGACCCGTTGTACAGAATATTTTAATAATCCTTTTCGATGTTTAAGTGTCTCATTATAGAGAAATAATGTCCGCTTTTTGGCTCTAATAGGATAAAAGTAGCCGCATATGAGTCGCCGCAATCGCAATAAATACATATCCAAATAGTTTAACAGACAAACCAATACAAAGAAACGGTAGATATCGGCAATGACTTTGTCATTGATTTTCTGGATCTTCATTGAACAATAGCTGTTTGTTGTTACATAACTGTTGAATTCAAATCTAAATTTATAAATATTTAGATTGTGTTTCATAATTGTCGGCATATAACCCGAGTTGATGCCCCTCCAGCCGGTTACGTTCGGGTCCATCGAGTGATGCCCCGACTGTGTCACCCATATCTGTCCCAATTCTTTACTAATCAATTGGCTTATATCATAGATAATTGAGTCCATTGTTAAGATAATTACAATGCAAATGAAAAATATGATTAAACATATTGTACTGCATTTGAAGTGTTTCTTCTCGAACGGCGATAACTGAGGACTGTATGGATCTAATAGTTCTTTGCGCTCAAAGAGTTTTAATGGAAGTAATGATAGTTTGTTCTGAAAATTAAAASAAAACAATAAAAAATTATTAATAAAAATAAATTATTTTTTTTGTTGTTGAAAATAATATATAATTAATTTTTTTCAATAAAAAAATTATTACCGCTTTTTTACGTCTGGCATCGATTCGCCTAAAATAGCCGGTAATATAGCAATTGTCAAATTGGATTTTCTTCAGATAGCTATAATGGTATGACTTGGCACTGATGAATATCCATAGAAATACAAATAAGACCAGATGTCTGGCTATACGACCGGCCAGTTTGCTGTAATAGACACTTGTTTTGCGATAATAGTTGATCTGTTGGACGACACCTTTCATTTTCAATAATTCCGTAATGTTTATCGTTTCAAACTTATGGTCAATAGTTATAGTGTTTCTCAGCATAGATATCATGTCTGACATATTGTTCATTTCATTCATATCTTTGTCGGGCACCGTTAGATTTTGATGTTTGGTACATGTTTTATTATACATTGGTTTCAAAATTTTTTCCTGACAAAATTTGTTGGCCTTTTCATCCAGGCTAAAATTATTAATCAATACAGTAGTATACACAATACCAAAATTCAATTTTTAAAAAAAAATTCAGTCTTAATATTCAGGTAATAAATATAAAATGATATTTAACCACAAAAAAAATTGTAAAAATTGAAAAACCTGGTAAACGTTTGAGCCCCATAAGCAACAATACGCATCCAGAAACCAAATTTAAAAGTATTATAACAATCATTGAATTTATCTCTCAAATTATTTTCACACATTTCATTCATTTTGTCTTTGAATTCATCCAAATGAGTGCCATTTTTACTGTCATTATCTTTACTTTTAGGATGACTGTCCTTATCGTTTATGTTATCTTTGGTGTCATTTAATCGTTTCTCTATTCTTTGTCTATGATTGGCGTAAAGTCGTCCAAAATTGTTGTCCAATTTGTCTAACTGTTTGTTTTTAATTTTTTTATCGGTGTGTTGTTGTATTTGATCACTAATTTGTTGATCGATATAATTTTGAATAATAGTTTTTGCCGGTTCGCTAATCAACTGTTGGCCAACCATTGCCTGTTCCAGACCTGTCTTCAGCGAACAATAGCTCCATTGGGCTAACTCTGCTGTATTTTCAATAGCATTGCGCACCGGGACATCAAACAATGTAATCAATATTACAAATATCAAATAATTTCGACCACTTCTGCCTATTGGATTGAGCGGACATTCAATTAATTAATTAATATTAATGTATAGTATGTTTAACCTGAAAATGATGGCAATAGTAGACAACAAATGGCCCGCATTTCGACCGAAACGGTAAACATAATGGTGACCAACGAGACAATCAAATAGCGGATTACTTTTTCCATTTTGATGTCAATATCAAACCGGTAAACAACATAAACGTAAAACAAGTAACCAATTAAAAATCCAATCGGCAAACATAGTAGTTGTCTAATAACTGGATACTTGTATGTAAAACATATATTATAAATCAGCGGACAGTTTACTCTGAATTGATGTTCAATTTTGTTGAACACAACATTCAAATAGTATTGTGGTTTCATTTTTTATAGTTATTTATTTGTTTGTTTAGTGACAAACAATTGTATTCAGATTTTATATACCGGTATACTGTAATAGAGCTTTCAAACCAAATATTTGATTCATATAATATATAATTAATTAATATAATATAATACAATTTAATTTTTTACGAGACACAAGTTTCACTTATTCATTATACAGTAATAATTATAATTAAATATTTATATAATTATGTTAAAAATAACTGTTGATCTAAATTAATTATTATATATAATTTTTTTGACTAATAAACTCGTTAAATTTTTTTAATTTTTATTATTYAAACAATTAATATAACTGTATATAAAAACGATATTTTGTTTGTATTTTACCGTTTATACTGTTAATTGCATTTTTGTAATTTAATTGTGACTTTATTTTATGACAAACCAAACATGTATTCAAAGTGTTTTATTGTGGCAATTATATGGTTAATARTAWTGACATACCGTTCCCATGTTGTTTGGTGTCTGTCATGTTTGACCAATAATATTGATGTCAAGTCCCATATCATTGACAACCAAAATGACAGTTTCGTTGTGAATCTCTGTCCCGATAGTAAACTGTCGTTTATGGCGATCAGCAAAACCCGATCGCAAGTGTTTGTCTTTACATCCCTGAGCCGAGAGACGAGTGAAGCAATGAAAACTGCTRACAAAGTGGACGTCTCGTTGGGATCAATCACCGGACAGTTTCGGGAAAAACATTTTCCCGACTCATTATTACTATTGGTACTGAAGATCAGTCCTTATATACCGATTTCGGTGACAACAGCAATGACAACGACAACAACAGTARATCAGGAATCTAATGAAACAGACAWAGAGTCAACTCCCGTGAAGAACGACATGTTTACATCTGAGGAAAGCACTGATACAACAATTAGTGTGACCATTGAAACAACGGTYACAWTTGAAGAATCAATTACAACTACATTATCGGATCTTCAGRCAGACAGTACACCGGCTGGTCATGAATTGGATKATGAAAACAGTGAGTCATCAAAGGCACGAAAATCGGTAAAGAGATTAAATCGAAATCAAGACAACGGCGCCACTGTTAAAATCAACGGTAATGTATATAAACTTAATGATAATGAAGAGATGCACACCACTGACTTGTACGCCAAAAACGATATCATCAAAATATCCTCTGATGGCACTGGTAGTCTAAATCGTTTTCGGGACAGTTATATTGTGTTTTGTTTTGAAAAGAACAGCGCGTCGTACATGAAATACCGGTGCGAAACTGAGATCACTGGCAAAGACTTGTACTGTCGGTGCAAAAATCGTGGATTTATTCAGAGTTTTACAGCCATTATTGTCATTTTGATCTTATGGTTGGCAATGACTCTATGGGTTTTCTGGTCAAAATTCACGGAACGACCTCCCGGTGAACCCGAACTACAAGTGGCTTTGGTTATGTGTTCRGCCAAATCGTTTCTTTACCAATACATCATCGAACTGAAGGTTGGCTGTCCGTCCAGTGACTATGATTTGGACAAAACCACTGTTGACTTTGAACTGTTGGACGCCAGCCGGCAATCGGTGGCCAATCCTGTTCGTTTTTCGTCCAACAAACTGCCMGATCCTCAGTCGTCGATAATGCGYATAGTTATGGGTCGACTGACRCCGATTCCGCTCATTGCCTATATCCGGGCCAATCACTCGCAGCCCAGCGAATCGGAACTGTATCTCTTCTCCTTCACGATCACCGAAATACCAAAAAATGGTAAACAACGCAAACTATTGCAGAAGAGTTCGATCAATCAATACATCAAAAATCACCCGAAAGTATTTGCTGCCCAAATCGGTAACGAAACGCTGGCGGAGACCAAAACGCCAGAGATTGCCACACCGGCGCTCAGTTGGTTTGATCTTCAGGTTTTTACCTCTTTTTGTATCTCATTGTTGGCCATATTTTGTATGTTTGTACTGCAATCGAAAGAAGCACTGTTCCAGTCACTGCTGTCCGGCTTATTGAGCGCTGGCGCCACACTTATCATGGGATCACTGCTCTTCTATATCTATAAATATAATCTGAAGAAGTTTGAGGCAGAAATCAAATGTCAAGATATCGGTACAGGTATTGAAAAGAGCGAAGAAGCTTACAATGTGTTTACACTGAGCCGATACATAATGTTGGCCGTCATGTTGACTGTTATTATTGTGTTGACATTGGTTATGGCTTTCTTCGGACTCAAGTTGTCGTTTATTCAATCGCTTTTCTGGCTGGGCTCGTGTCTGTGCGCCGGTGCCATAGTTTTCGGCACGTGGCACGTAGTCGCCGGTGTTGTACGCGAAACGCTCGATACCGTACGCGGTCACAGTGGCGAAGATCTTGAACTGGAACCGTCTAGTATATCAATGAAGTCGGCCACCGGATCCAGTATGTCAATGAAGTCGGACAAACCCGAACCAATATTCAACAAAACTATTAGTACCCCCACTGCCACTACAGTAGCTCCTGCCTCCGCTCCTAAAGCTCAACTACCGGTCAAACCACTAGTATCTCCAAAAAAGCCTCAACAGTCGACTCCCACTAAGGCAGCGGTCAATGTCGCCAAATCTCCAGCAAAATCTGTGGTTAAAAACAGTGATCAAAGATTACAGTCGAAAGTTGTTGACAAACAAAATAAGCAAAAATAGAAATAATTTTTTTCTTTTTTCATTTAATCACCAGTTTTATGATATTAATAATTATTTATTGATTTATTATTATTTTTTAGTTATTATCAAATATTTTTTGTTTAAACAAAAGTAAAATTGAATATTAAATAGTAAAGTGTTATTATTATAGTATTATTATTATTATATAGATAAGTCTATTTAATTGTATAGTTTTTTAAATAGTAATAATTGATAACAATAGCGGCCGATATGATTAGCAATTTTTCATTGACGGTGAATGTGTGCGGAACTGCCACTCGTATACAATGATCTTCTTTTAAGACATTATTCAATAGGATTTTATCAAAACGTTTAGCTATAGTACCGATTGAGTCGTTAATTGAATTTAATATTTCAAATTCATAGCTAACTGTAGTATCGGTCGACTTTTTGATTGTAAATCTGGTTTTATTTAATTTCGGATCAATTATGACAAACTCTATGGCACTGCTAAACCAGTGGCGCTTCTCCTTGAAGACACCAATTGTCACACCGGGCGGACACTCAATCTTTGCGTTAATTTCAGCGCAAAAACATTTGCATTGTTTCCTAATTGTCACAATATGTCGGTTGTATTGGTCAACAAACCGCAAACTGTACGGCAATTGTTTGCTTATACCACGATTGCCATCGGGTGCCACAAAAAACAGTTGCTGATAATCGGCATTTCTAATGGTCACACAATTGGTTGTATAGTTATCATTGTTATAGAGTTTGTTGATTATAGGTATGCCATCAAAGATGTAAAACTTTCGCAGCCGTTCCACACAATCCAAACCATTGCGCATCTCTTTCTTCGACTTTGTTTTCGATGGTGTCATCCATTCGGGAATCATTTCCGAACAGTGATCCACTTCGTGGTCCATCCCATCGCTTGTTTCCAATTGTTCTTTACTTGATTTTGTCTTTCCAGACGATTCAGTTTCAGTGACATCACTGTTGTCACTCAAATCAAGTATCGCTACCTCTGATCTGGCTTTTGACAGTTTGTCGCCGAAGTTTTTTATAGCCAAATGTGATTGAATGAGACGGTTGTGACTAAGGATGGGCTCGTACTGTCGTTTTGGTTCATAAACAATGATTCGCTCTTTTTTCTGTTTATATAAATCGCCGATTTGGTCGCAACTATCACTGATTGGACTCAATTTATATGAAGCAGATTCTGGTGACGATGACGATGAGTGACTGTCTTTTAGTGTCAAGTCTTGAGACGATAAGCTATTAGTGTCTGTCATTGCAATCAAATACTTTAAAAAATCAATTACTGGTTTTTAGATTCAAAGAAAAAGTAAAATTTATAAAAAAAATAATTTCGTGATTAAATTTGTTGTCCACTATTGTTAGACAAGATTTGCTTGAATACAAACAATAATACTAATAATAATTATAAAAAAGAGGAACAAATAAAACAAACTATTAATTACAAGTATTTTATTGAATTCAAATATTTAAAAGTTTTTATTACAATCAACTTATTTTAAAGTGTCCAGTAATAAGTCATTTATACAATTTTGATACATTTAATACTGTTTATAAAAAAACTATAATCTATGAATTATTTGATACAATATCTAAAATAAATGAAACTAAACTTATAGATTATTTTCAAATATTAATGTTTCAATTGTATGCTTATTGTCATTAAAAAACAAAACACAAGTTCAGTATTTACTTTATACTGTAATTGAATTTTAAATTAAAACTTTTTAACTACAGTATTAACGATAATTTAATTTTGTAATATTTTATTAAATATTTTTAAAAAATACAAGTAAATGATAATTATTTATGATGATAATTATAATATAATAAGWTCTGATAATRATATATGAATATTAATTGATTAATTACTTGACAATTAATACAAAATATTTGATTAAACTTTTCATTGGAATATTAATGAATGAAATTAAGTTTATTATTAATAACAACAACAAAATCTACAATTTATAAAAACATATAAACAAATAAACAATTAAAAATAATTACTGTTAATAAAAAAATAAATTTAAAAATATGATAATCAATATAATCAATAATTAATATCTAAATTAGTTAAATAAAACATATAAATTAATTAAATTACTTAAAAACAAATAACAAAAATAGTCGAAACGGCGAAACAAATCTATTTGGAAACCGATACCCAAACAGTGATGAGTTCTTCGTAATTGATTTCACGATTGTCTCCCAAATCCACTTCAAGTATCAGTTCATTAATTTCTTCAGTACTCAACCTCTCACTCATTGTTTGTTTGAATTCATCGATTGATATGAATCCGTTGCCCTCTTTATCCAAAACACGGAACGCATTTCTCAAGTCTTCCTCTGCTTCCGAGTCTTTCATCTTCTTTGTCGCCAATTTGACAAATTGATTGAATGTCACAGTGTCGGTACCAAATGAATCCAACTCAAACATCATCTCCCGGAGCTCACGATCGTTGGTCTCAATACCGTAGTATTGCACGACATCAGACAACTCTTTGATACCAAACCCTTCGTTGCCTTCTTTAGCAAAAATACGAAACATATTATCATATTTTTTGGTGTCTTTTGTATCAGACTTTTTYGTCGTCGTCGTCGTCGATGAAGAACTCATTGRATTTGTTTTATAAAATAATATTTTTGTTTTTTGGCAAAAGTTCGGTATATGTAACACATTTGTTGTTGAAATTTCATGCGCGCTATTATAACCATTAAATTTATGACAAATGCAGTACTATTTTATTACTTTATGTTAGGTTAGGTTGGGGTGGGTTGGGGTGGGTGTGTGGGGAGGGAAGGAACGGGAGATGAGGGCTGGTATCTAAAACTTGTTAAATTGTCATTTTAAAAGCGTTTAAAACTTCAAAGACAAATGGGTTATATATAATATATACAATATTAATATATTATATATACCGAAGCTGTTACTCRTTTTTTATTTAGTAAAATAGTTTTTCCAAAGTGAAGACAAATTATTTATTGGATTTATATCTTGAGATTTATTTTAATTTAAATTTTTTGATTTAAGAAACGGTTTAAAAAAAATGTTCGTTAATTTTATGATAATTTGAAGACAAATAAAATCAATTTATTTACCACTAAAAGACAATTTAAGATTTAAACAATAAATTAGACATTTTTACTTAATGTACAGAAATTAATAAAATTCAAATTTTATTGCAAATAACAAGAAAACAAATTCAAAAATTTTGACTAAAAAATTTCAATTCATTGACTCTTTGGTTTGAAATCTGAGATCACTTTCTTCTTCACTTTTTTTACACTACTCGTCATCGCAACTCTTTCGGCTTCTTCTTCGTCTGCGACGGTGTCCACCCTTTCGTCCACCCGATCGCGATCTGCCTCTTCTCGATCGGGAACGCCTTCTGCTTCTTCCTCCTCCCGAATGCTTTCTGCGACGTCTCGACTCCACAACCTTTCCTCCAGAACCGCCAGAAGGAAGTGTCTTCTCTTCAGACTCAACGTCGATAGCAATGGTTTTCATTTTCAATTGATTTGGATTTTCGGTAATTTTGGATAGAAATTGAATACTAATAAAAAAAATCTGTGAAATGATTTGAATTTAACTGAAACTTAAATTTTTATACAAAACTAACAATTGATGAAATATCTCGCATCTCATGTCTCGAAATACATATTTTTAAACAATTAAATATCATAAGTAATCTGTATATTGCAGTCAAATTTAATTGCAATAAATATTTTAATAGTTATTTTGTGTAATTTTTTAACAAAATAAATAAATTGTGTTAAAAAGTAATAATTTTTCAAATAATTGGTACGTGTAATGCACGCGCGCTAATTGAATATATAAAACAATTCTAATATTTTTTGAATTTTTTACATTTATATTAATTGATATATTTTTTCTACACATAAACTATCAAAATATATTATAATTGAAAATAAAACAAAAACCATTGAATACAACTGTGACTTACTCTAACTATGACATACCTGTGCTATCAATTAGCTTTATTGGTGACAATTGTTACGATTGGTTCGACGCTCTGTAAGTCGTCGCGATTCTGTGACAGCGATAAACCTGCCGTCACCTCTATATTCAGTCATCACAAAACTATTTACCTGATCCGCGACAACTCTGAGTTTTGGTTGTACAAAGAGGACAATCAGGCCGGTCCTCAACAGCTCAACACACCACCACTTCTGCTGTCCATTACGTTTCCCGGTATATACAGTATATATATATATATCTAAACACTATAGTGATAGTGATAACTMTTTTGTTATTATTTCAAAGTAAATGAGCTGAATATGGGSACAATTGCAACGGCATTTACAGTCGACTCCGTTCCAGARGCTTGCGATGAGTCCAAGTTGCAGACGCACCGGGAGTGGTGTATATTCAATGCCTATATGCTGAACACGACATTCATTTTCTATCAGCGCAATGATAACAAAGACCGACAGGTCTACTCAATGATCAGACCTAAATCAAAGTCGTCGACGTTTTTTTTGTTCAACAGTACGATCGGCGGTTACGGCTATGAGCTCCGGGCAAATCGGTCGACCGACCGGAGCTCGTTTCCCGGGGTTAGTCCCGAATATATATCAAATGATAGGTACCAAATGTCCATTTAAAATATGTTACCTTAAGATACCTGCGCTTACTGTTTGTCTGTCAAAATAGAGTCAACAAATTTGTGGGCACAGTGTATGACAGTAGGAACCGGGCAGTCATTATGATTGGTATCAACAATGCCAACCAATACGTGGCCTACAAAAAGCTTTTGGACACCGAATGGGATGAAAAGATTACCAAAACAGACTTAGGTTCAGTCGATAACAGTAATCCCATTATCAGTGCATTCAAATATAACGACGCCTACCATGTCATGTACGGGGATCACAAGGTTTACCAATTAAATGATGATTTGACTCTCAAAAAGGTACGTAAATTTATTATTGTTTTTTTAATTAGATTAACAATTAATTTTTCAAAGTTTTGTATATTTTTTAACATCTAATTTTTGATATATTTTTTTATTATTATTTAATATATTAGGAAAAGTTTTCATCAGTTCATACTATGTTTTGTAAATAACTTTAATAATTATTATCCATGTCTTTCATCTGTCTATTTAATTAACTTAGAATATTATTATCTGATATTGTGTTTTATTATTGTATTTATTATTATTAACCAAATTAACTAATATTTTATTTTTTATTAAATTTTATTTACCAATTTTCTTAAATATATTAATTTAATAACTACCGGAAATATTTAAACAAATATTTGTTTCGTAATGTAAAACTACTGTAAAATTATAGTTAAATTGATTTTTACCTCAAATATTTTGCTTAATTAGTGAATTAATTTTGAAATTATAGCCAATAATAATACAAGTATATAAAAACTTGTATTAAATAAAATAAAATTTAATGACATTTATTTTTTATAGTTTAAATGATTGACAACTAAATAATTTAAATTACAGTACAAAGTATAAATGAATGAAATTAAAAAAAATAATAAAACTTAAATAAATAGTAGTATATAAATAATTGTCATAATGTTTGCTATTCAATAAGATATATAAAAAAATTACCGTAAATACAGTAATTGATTCAAAATTTTGCGATCAATAGTGCAGCAAATAGTAATGAATARATAAAATTTTTTGGCGACATTTGTGCCGTCAATTGTCGCACAGATACCAACCATCTGGCAATGAACGGGTATTTATCAATAAGTTTAACTCCTGTACCGCTTTCGGGTAAAATGCCGTGCGCTTTGGCAAACGGTTCCAGTGATTCACGACTAACAGGAGCCATATATTCTTTTTCGTTTTCACGGCGCCACCAGTTTTTAGCACCTTTACCTAAAAATAATTAATGAAAATAAAAATTATGGTAATTCTATTAAACATTAAAAGTTATAAAAAAATAAATGTCTAAAATACCTGTAAATCTAAATATATATGAGCGAACTCTTATAAATTTTGGTGCAGTTTTAAAAGGTAGTCGACTTTTGTCCAGTAGATCAAGTACTTCGGGCTGTGCTGTGAGTAAACGGTAACAGAGATTCAATAGCCATGGATTGTTCTGATAGGTATCGAGAGCGGCGAACCACATCTGCCAATCGAGACGGGGCTGATGGGGTACTGAAGTTTTTGTGGGTTAGCAATGAAAACAAAAATTAAGATACAGATAATACTATATATAAATATAAATTATATACTATTAAATTGTGGTGCTTTTGTAATATCTCCCGGTTTGTATAGAAAATGATAGGCTTTCCATCCGCTGGGCGACGACATGTCATTACTGCCTTCGATGACAATCTCTGGCCGACCACCGACACCAGTCATTCGCCGAAATAGTCCATAACTATTGACAACTGGATAGCGTTCCACTGTTCGGTGCCATCGGTTGATAACTGGCCACAATCGTGTTGAGCGTGTCGTATCTACGCTCACATGTGGTACCAGTGATATACAGAAAAAATAAATGACAGCACCTGTATATATTGTTGTGTACAATAAGTTTGCAATGCGAGCCAAACTGTTTGATGGATAGATAAGGCACCTGTAGATATATAATGAAAGCAAATTATAAAAAATACATATGTTTTAATTGTATTATATTTTTTTTAAAATCCAAAACATTCATTGACTATCTATCATACCTTGATATTGCTTTAAATATGTTCGCTGCTAACGAAATGGTGGCCAACCCTATAGACACTGGTAGTGCAAAAATAATAAATTGATTCAATTGGTCTTTCGTGAAGCCAATGCTCATTGTTAGTGAACCGGCAATAAACTGAATGTTAAACAATTGAATCGTCCAATAGATAAGCGAAAAATATATGAAATAAGTGACCAGTTTGGTCAATAGTGTCGGCATCAGAAAACGTGGTCTCGGATAACTAGTYGTAGTAGTAGTAGTAGTGGTGGTAGCGATAGTTGAGATCAGTCTCGAWGCGTGAGAGTCATTCAGTATTGACAAACAAAGAACAATAGTTAACAAATTAAAAAAATTGTAATTTCCGGTCAAAATAATAGCCAATTGAAAGATCACCTAAATATGTATCAATAAAAACATACATTTATAGTGGAAATTAACAAAACACGAAATCAATTGATAACTCACTTGCATTAGAAATGAGAAAACTCTTAGACTATTGATTGGTATGAAGAACATGAAGGGAACAATAATTTCGATRATATAAGTCATCACTACTGATAGCCGAAGTAATGGTGTCGGTAAGTGATGAGCAAACCAGGCCAAAGGTGTCGGTATGCACTGAGAYTCAAAGTGTATGTCCAGTGCTGTCAATGACCACCACGTCGGGCATTCACTGGTCAATTTGACAATACCCGAGGCAAACATCAGACGAAACAGTAGCCACCGAACCAACCAAAAGGTGAGTGCAGTTTGCGGTCCTTTTGCCGATAGAAATGGCAGTTTCAATGGTGCCGTCAATGCTGTCAGTATTCCAGTTTCGATAAGTAGTGAATCCCATTGAAACCACATAAATGTTTGGCCGATCTGTGGACCGAAACAAATCAATTAGTTTTATACAAATAACATCAAAATCTCAAGACAATGATAGTAGACCTGATATAATGAAAAGTASAGTCCAACCACCAGACAATAGGTCCAGAAGTTGCGCAACGGTTTGTATATCAACTGTAGAAATGAGATAACGGTTCCCAATAGTGCCACTAACTCTACGGTAGTGTTTAAAGACAGTCCCAGTGATGGTCCCAACCATACGAGTGATGGCATCTGTTTGCTGGCTTCGGCCAATCCCGACATACCGCGCTTATCTAACTGGGCAAAGGCACGCACCGGTAGTACACCGTTGTCACCGTAGAGACCTATTATTTGAAGACACATTAGTATCTCATCAATTGATCCACAATTCGGATAAACAATTAGTTGTCATTAAAAAAATACCGGGAATTTGTATGTAAATCGATGAAAAAGCAAACAAATAAATACAAGACATTGACCACAGATAACAATTGTGGACACCGGCGATGTCGCTCATCGATGAACGGCTGGCCATTATTGCTGTCGATGTCGGAGATCAATGTCTTCAACAAACAAACCAAATGGTGATGTGTTTTGTAAAATATTTTACAATCAATACAATACAGACTGCAGTCAACTATAACTACAATCGCTTTCAATACATATACTGTACAAACACTTGTCGTTGAGTTACACCTATTGTCATAAAAAACGTTTAATGGGCGGTAATAATGGGGACAATTGTATTGATTTGTCGGTGTGTTTGATGTCAATAGTATCTATAAATAGGGTTTTTATTATTTTGGACGTAATTGATGACAAATAACATGGCATTTCATCATTATATTAGTATTACTAAAAAGTTTTTGATTGTTTGATTGATTAATAGGTATTTTATTTTTATATAATTTATTAAACTTAATATTTAACAAATYTTTAWWATATATACAATATTTTATTTTAATTATTWAATTAWATTTTTGTCAAATTTCAATTTTAACCTTAAATGGCAAAACAATAAGTTAGCGAAACTAACAAAATAAAAATATTGAAATAATATTATTAAATTAATTTATTTTTTTCCTAATTGATATTTAAATATAATTTATAAATTATTTATAAACATATATATTGTACAGTAGATTATGAGCTATAATTCAATAAAAATAAATAATTAAAATGTGTAAAKTTAGTTAATTACTTAAATTTATAATAATGCACATAAAATTGTTATAATCATTRWTAGATTYTATTAGATTATTATTTTTTAATAATAGGTAATTTAAAAATAATGATTTCAATTGGCAATAATATTAATGATAAAATTAATCCAATTATTAGGAAAATAAATATATTTTTAGTCGACTCTTTGAGACCAATACTATGCAATTGTTGTTTATTATTGACTAACTGTATGTTAATTGTAAAATATTTTAATTTTAAGCTAATAATATATCCGTGAAATAAATTTTTAATATGTAGAAAATGCAAATTGAGACCATTTTCAAAAATTATCTTGTAACTAAATTTTAAATAATAATAATTGATTATATATTGTGTGTATATATTATGTATATATTATGTATATTGATGTATAATATTAAATAATATATACTATATTTTTATTTAAAAATATATAATTTATATGCACTTACAATCTTGTCATATATTTAGCAAAACGATGTTTATTATTGACCAAATGATATGTAAAATCATAGAAATATTTATATTTACTTATCATAACTTTATCCCAATATTGTTTGAAAGCTAATTGAAATTCTGTCAAATCATAGGTGTTATATAATAATACTAATTTCCCATTAATAACATTAATAATTGTCTCATTAAGTTTGTCAGTAAAAACATTGATRATATTAGTTTTATTTTCAATGGCACGCAATACATCTCTGTACTCAGCATTTGAATCCATTATATTTTTAAATATTGCCCGATTTGTTTGCACCCGACACTGACCACAGTTGGCCACATCGGCCAGTGTTTCGACTAATTGGTAGGGTTTGAGTTTGAAATAACTTTTCAACAAAATACCGATAAATGATTGTGTAATTATCAGTGAACACAATAGCCAAATACATACAACTAATATGTATGTAATTTGTTTAAAATTGTTATAATTTCTATGTTTAAATTGATCATGGTAAAATTTTGTCGAATTATTCATCAATGTTCCGCTTAGTGTGATAATTAAATTAATTAATTGCCATCCATCATGCACAAATAATGATAAATTTAATATCAATGTAATAATTACGATATTTATTAGCAAATAGACCCATATCTGTTTGTTTAGAAGATAATTATTCAAGTTAAAATAATAATAATAATACTAAATTTGACCAAGATACAAATACAAATAGATCATACATAGTGATCGAATAGCTTTATAATATCGAAATATTTATTATTTTCTCTCCAAACTATTCCGGATAATATTTCGATACCATGAATCTGATTTGATGATATCAATGTGTAACTATTATTAGACGGTATTGTATTTGCAAAAAATAATTGTAATACTGTTAATGATGTTGACTGATGAATACATATTAATAATAATGAAAAAAATAATTTATTAAATATATGCTTAACTGGATAAATATTGTTTATAACAATATAATGTATTTAAAAAAAATATAAAATAAATTTGATACTTCCGTTTGTCGTAAATTGGTAATATATACCAATTTTAATGCAATACGTTTTGTACATATAAAATGATTGATAATCGATAAAAATACGCTAAACAATAAATTTAACTATAAAAACAAATTTTAATTAAATCTATTATTAAATATTTCTCTAAAAAAATAATTTCAACAAAATTACCCCGTGATTAAAATAAATTATCATTGTTTGGTTTGATGCCATCATTTGTTGATCGCAATAATAAATGCCATCCGAAGATAATTGTGCAATTTTAATAACATTATATAATTTAACCTGGTGTGTTGGAAATATTAATGATTTCATCTTATATTTAAAAAATCCTAAAAATCCTAACTTATTGTATAGTTTTTTATTTTATCAAATGACACCAATATTTTTTTAAAAAAATTGTTGATTAGTTCAATTGAATAACAATGTTTTGTTATAAAATTTATAATAAAAACACAAGATATACAGTAATTATAGCTAAATAATTAATTAATTAAAATTTAACTGTTTATAATAATTGATTAAATAATTATCATTACTATACTAACAGAGAATAAATGAGTTAAATGAATAAATTATTAGTAAAAAGTAACTATAAGATATTACAGCAACAAAAATTCATAAATTTAAATAGGGTATAATAAAAAGTTCAAATAAACAATGTTATTATTAAAATATCCAAAAAATATTTTTAAAATTATACATAATTTATAAATAATTCATTTAATGTTAGAAAAAATACAAGTAATATAATTTCTTAAGTAATATAAATTATTTTACACCTAAAATCAATAATACAATAGTTAACTTATTAATATAACATTCGCTTAAATGTTTAATATCATAGRTAAATATGTTAAAGTTTTATAGTACCTGAATATACTGATGTTATAAACAATAATTATTTATCAATATTTGTTAGTATACAGTACAGAAACTAAAAATATATCAATAGTTATGATTATAAGTTATAACAATAGCACTAATTAATATCGACTTAATTAATAATCATTTAAAACTTATAATGATAAAATAGATTTCATGGAAAAATCTCTTTATATTTGAAATAATTATGTGAAAATCATCACATGTTTAAATATAATTTAGATTAAGTAATCATTTATTGTTTTTTACATAAAAAATATTGAATAAAATCATTAAGTTAACAGTTAATAAAAAAATATAATTATTAAGAAACTTAATAATTCATAAATAATAATAATAATGAATTCATTTTCTAATATAATATTATTTGTTGTAATTTGTTTAGTTAACTCCGAAAATGGTAAATAAAATTCATAAAACAATTGTTAAAATATTAAACAAAATTTTTCTTATAACATAGTTTCCCGAACTTTGCGCCTAAGCAGTGGCTATAACTGTCCACTAGTAGGCATAGGATGCGGTGGCTACCGAACAGGTGGTCCACCGCAGGGCAAAGTAGTCATACAAATGATCAACGATGCAGTAGATGTCGGCTACAAACACATAGACACTGCCAGCTCTTACCTGAATGAGGCGGCGATAGGTCAGGCCATCAATGATTTGTTGGACAGAAATGTTATTCAACGACATGAACTGTTTGTCACCACAAAGATTACCTACAGTTCAAGCAATACCAGTGCTGAAGCCTTGCATGGCGTGCGAGTGGCGCTCCAGAAGCTAAACCTAACTTACTTGGATCTCATGCTTCTTCACTCTCCGGCCAGTGATGAAATCAATCGTCAGGTGTGGTCGGGTCTGGAGGAAGCAGTCCAACAAAAATTGGTTCGATCTATAGGTGTATCAAATTTCAATATCAAACAATTGGAAACTTTATTAAAAACCAGTCCCCGAATCGTACCGGCTATCAATCAAGTGGAAAGTCATCCTCAACTCAATCAGCAGCCGTTGATAGACTACTGTACCAAACAGGGCATACATCTCACCGCTTATTCACCATTAGGTGCCGGAACTCTTATTAAAGATCCGACGATAACGGCTATCGGTAAACGATATAACAAAACGGCGGCTCAGGTATTGATCCGATATGAAGTCCAGAGAGGTATAATCGCAATACCAAAAAGCTTGAAAAAGAATTACATTAAGGAAAATATCGATGTCTTTGACTTTGAATTGACCACCGATGACATGAAAACATTGAATGATATGAAATAAATTTAATAAATAAAATTTTATTTTTAAAACTGTTTTTAGCTGTGTTTTTATACATAATATACAGTATAATACCAACAAATATGAATCACTTTCAAAAATCTGTTAAACCATTAAAAAATAATTGCTATAAAAAATCAGTTTAACATCATTATCGCAAACACATTATATCACTTTTAAAAATAATCTATTAGTAATAAAAGTAAATATATTTTTTTAATTTATATTTATTAAACAACAGTACAGTACATTGAAAAATACTGTATTTAATTCAATAATAGCTGTTAAATATTAATAGCATAAACAAAAACTATAATCATTAAATTAAAACATTTTTTGAAACCACACATTTTAGCAGTCAAACAAACAAAAATATTATTATTAATAATAAAATATATTTTATTTCGATAAATATATATATAACTTTTATCATTTATATTACCATTAGTATTATAGTATTAACAATGAAAACTATGTATTCACTATCGTTTATCTTATCATTGATTACTATTACATTTAACAGTGTAAACAGTCTTAACGGTATAAAAATTTTTTTTTTAAATATTATATATCATATTTAAATTATTTTCTTAATTTTAAATAAACAATTTATAATAAAAGATTATTTTGTAAATTTAAAACAACAGTAACAAAAACATTTCGATTAAACAATGGTGTGGACATACCTGTCATCGGTTTGGGAACCGGCGGTTTCGATGGCGCACCACAGGGAGAATTGGTCAAACAAATGGTCAGAGATGCTATTGATGTCGGCTATCGGCTCATCGATACGGCCGCCTATTATGGCAACGAACCAGCTATTGGTGAGACAATCGACGAACTCGTCGGCAGCGGTAAAGTCCGACGCGAAGAGCTATTTGTGTCGACCAAAGCTTTTCTGTTGTTCGGCGACAACAGCCAAGCGGTCACCCGAACTGAAACCGTACACAACGTGCGGCTAGCGTTGAGTAAACTGAATCAGACCTACTTGGATATGATGCTCTTTCATTGGCCGTCCGACTCGGCGCCAGTTAATCAGGAAATATGGCGCGGACTGGAAGATGCATTACAACTGGGTTTGGTTCGCACGATAGGTGTGTCTAACTTTGATCTCTCAAAATTGGAACAATTGCTCGAAACGGCTAAAGTGGTTCCGGCCGTCAACCAAATCGAGAGTCACCCGAAGCTCAGTCAACGACCGATGATTGACTTTTGTAATCAGTATGGCATACGTATGACTGCCTATTCACCGTTGGGCGCCGGCTCACTGGTTGACCTACCATTGTTGACAGAGATTGGCAATAGATATGCCAAAAGCGCTGCTCAGGTGATGCTTAGGTGGCAAATACAGAGAGGAGTAGTTGTCATACCCAAGAGTACCAAAAGATACCGTTTGATTGAAAATATTAATATATTTGACTTTAATCTGACCGACGAAGAAGTGAAACTCATTGAAGATCTATAAATATCCTATAATTAATGTCATCTAAAATATTGTTTAGAAAAAATGTATTGAATTTATTTTAAAAAAAATATGTTTTTATGTTTATATATATATAATTACTAATAATTTAATGACTTATATTTTTATAGACCTAGTATTTTTACTTAGTAACTAATTAAAACTGATTAAAAAATATAAATAGCATCAAAAATTATTACTAACTTTACTTAAACTTGTTAGCATTAAAATGCTTTATTTAAAGATTAATTAATATACAGTATTATTATACATATGTTAATATAGACAAACATATGGCTACAATAATAATTGATAGAAAAACTAAAACATTTTGAATATTAAATATTTTCATATTTTCATAAAAATCATTTTATTCTAACAAGTAATTAATTTAGTAAAATTTGTGTCAATTAAGCTTTAAATATTTATTTCTAAATTTGAAAAATGATATATTATTAATATTAAAGTATAATATTTAATTATTTAAAAACGTTTATCATTATTATCAAACTAATATCAAACCTAAAAAATAGTGTAGTTAAATATGGTTAAATACTATAACAAAAATATTATCAATATTTTAAAGTTTATAAAATTGTATTTAAAATTTTATAAAAAAAACAATTATTAATTAATAAATGATTATTTAATACTAATGTATAATTAGAGTAATATTTTTTTATGAGAGCTATAGTATATTGTAGTTACTATACTTATATTATAGTTCTCTATACAATATAATGTAAATATTACTGATTTGTAACTAATGCACCAAAATTAGTGTTAACTGAGTACAAAAAAATATTTACAAAAATCATTTATAACATTAAGTTATTTTTGAATAGATAGTTAACTAATTTTTTTATAGTATAATTTAACTTTAAATATTAGTTTACTACATCTACATTTCTATAACTTATGCACTTGAATATAATTATTATCATGTAATATAATTATGATGGTTTATTTATAATATCGTTTATTTATTTAAAAAATAAAATAAAATAATTTATRGCTTTAAGCTTAAATAAATTGGAAACAAACAATAATTGTATGATTGATATATAAAAACTTGATTTCAAATTTCAATAGCAACTAAACTTTAAACTGTGTCTATGATATTAATTTTATTATAATCTAATATTTATAATAATAATAAAAATTGTACCTAAAATGAGATAAACTATTTGATGAAATCAACAGTATATAAATACATGTTTTCTATATTAAATATAATATCATTATTAAAATATTGATTAATTAAATAATTATATAATATAAAATTTTTAATTTCTATAACTAAATAATTGAATTGAATATTAATATTACTAAAAATATGGATTTGTTATTTATGTGGTCTACACTAATTGTTATATCATCATTACCAATTTTACTTTATTGGTAAAATATTTTAATTAATTATACTAATTTTTATAACTAATTTATTTTAAAAAATATTTAAAGGTATTTTACACGAAATTTTGATTATTGGTCAAAACGCGGTATCAATGGACCCAAACCGATACCTATTTTTGGAAATTTATGGGAATTAATGATTACCCGACCTAGGATATTTACTGAACTGGAATGGTATAAAAAATATGGCAAAATATATGGGTAAATAAAATAAAAAAGATACAAAGTAAACTAGCAAAATAATATAATTTTATTGTATGATTAGATACTTCAATCACGTTGGTCCCACACTAACCATTGCCGATCCCGAACTAATCAAACAGATATTGGTTAAGGACTTCCATATATTACCGAATAGACAGCAACGCAAAAATCCTCACCCAGTTATGAGCAAAAGTTTAGTCGACGTGAATGGCGATGACTGGAAACGGGTCCGATCGATAACGACGCCCACATTTACTTCGGGTAAAATGAAGCGCATGTATCCACTGATGAAACAATGTTTTGAAGATTTTGCCGAACATTTGCGTCCGTTGGCCGACCAGAAAACAAATATCGATTTAAAGGCACAGTTCAGTAATTTTACACTCGATGTTATATCTACCTGTGCTTTCGCTACCAAATTCAATGTACATAAAGATACCGAAAATAATATGTTTGTAAAAAATGCCATTTCGTCCTTCAATTTTAATATGACTAAACAGTTGGCTCAGTTGGTGTTTCCCAAAACTATAGTCAAATTACTGTATATAACGGGTCTATTCAAGACTGTTAGCGCAGATTTTTTTATAAATTCTTTGCGACAAATACTGAATGATCGGCGAAAAAGTGATAAAAAATACAACGATTTGTTTCAATTGCTCATTGAAGCCGAAAAAGATGACCAAAATATGAGACACGAAAACGATATCAACGAATCACATCATGTGAATGAAGGTATTCATGGATTTTATGAATATTTAGTTATAGAGTTAACTATTAATTATTATTATTATTAATTTAGGCGCCGACGAACTGGAGGCTGAAAAACGTGCGCTTAATATAAAATTAGATAACAAACAGTTGACTGAAAATGAAATGCTCGCCCAATCGGTTGTCGTTTTATTGGCCGGTTATGAGACCACAGCCACCACATTGTCCTTCTGTACGTATGAATTGGCACTCAATCAGGATATTCAACAAAAACTGTACGAAGAAGTCAAGACTATCATCGACTCGAAAGGACAGATCAGTTACGATGAGTTGTCACGACTGCCATATCTGGATGCGTGTCTTATGGAAACATTAAGACTTCACTCACCGGCTCAACGAATTGCCAGAACAACCATCGATGACTACAAACTGGGAAACACTGGTATTACACTATATAAGGGACAACAGATTGATGTTCCCATCTATGCTATTCATCACTCAGAAGAATATTATGCTAAACCCTTTGAGTTCAATCCGGAGAGATTTATGCCCGAAAACAGACATAATATCATTCCCTATACATACCTGCCCTTTGGTGCCGGTCCTCGCAATTGTATTGGTATGAGATTTGCATTACTTGAGGCTAAGTTAGGTTTGGCGCATATCATACAAAAATACCGGTTTTTCCCGACTGACAAAACAGATGTTCCGTTAAAATATAAGAAATCTATTTTAACTGCCGCTGAAAGAGTTGTCGTCGGTATTGATCATAGAAAGTGAAAATACTTTTTACAAATAGTTATTGAAATTTTTATTCAATATTTTATATCTTAATAATAATCATATTGTTTACTATTTTAAAATTTTGTTTACATTTATTATATATACATATATTATTCTAAGTATTCTAAAATATTATAGTGTATAGTATATAAATATAATACAGTGTATAATAAACAGTAACAAACATATCAGTACTAAATACTGTATATACGTATAATTAAATAAGTTTAGTTTATATTTAGTTTTAAATATGTTTATAATAATAATTAATAAAACAAGTTGAGAATGCTTCAAAAGCATTTCCATACGAACTCCTTAACTTAAAAAATCAAAAAATTCAAAAAAATTTTGTAGCAGAGCCTGGATTCGAACCACTGACCTATGTGGGACAGACAGACAGACAGACTTATAGAATGCATATACGGAYTCCTTATGCATAGGAGTTCGTGAATATAGTTATTTTGTAATCATTTTAAATTTCTATTAATAAATATATATTTTGTAAATAAATATTAAAATTATTATTAATAAAAAAATAACAAATATTATTACTGTAATATATTTCCCTATTGGATCTAACTATACCCTATTGGGTATTTAGGGTACGTCTACCCTTCCCCATATATAAACCCCAGCAATGTAACTACTCGGGGTCTTCTAGTGTATACTACTGTACTGTACTATATATTAATATTATTACTACTATATATTCAATAACACATATTTATATATTACGTTTKTGTATCAATTATTTATTTAAAAACTAAAGTGTATGACATACCCAACCCGCCGGCACCGTAAATAGAGTTTCCCTTATATTACATTACATTACATTACAATGCACAAAAAATAAATTTTGTTTATGTTAAATAGTGTAATTTAATGATATTCAATTTAGTAAATTAAAAAAATATTTTTTGTTTATTTAATCTTAATATTATTTGCAAGAAAATTGTTTTTCAAATATTACTTTTAAGTTAAAAGCTTTAACTGAACAATATTTATAAAATTAATTGTACACTATTTTAAAATTATAATAATTATATTTTATTTTAAATCAAATTTTTTTTTATTATTAAATTTATAAAATTAATTATAATTAACTTATTTTCAGAATATTTAATCATATTTTCAATTATTTCTTTTTTATTATTATTATGTATTTAATATATTTGTCCATTATTTTAATAGTTATTTTAGCACTTTTATATAGGTAATTTGTTACAATTAATTAAGTAACAATTATTAATTACAGAGATATATTTTATTTGAAATTATATTAATAATAATTATATTGTTTTCAATATATATATATATATTATAAATATTTAAAAAATATTAATTTAATTATTAAATAGTTATCTGACCCGTAATTTTGACTATTGGTCAAAACAAGGTATCAATGGACCCAAACCGTGGCCTATAGTGGGCAATATTGTTCAACTGTGTGTTATAGGATCGCGTTTAGATACAGAAATAAATTGGTTGAAAAAATATGGCAAAATTTATGGGTAAATTAAAAAATTATAATTTTAAAAACTAAATAATCATTTTAAAAAAAATAACATATTATATGAATGTTTATTAAAGAATATTTGATCAAAATGGTCCAAAACTAACTGTTGCTGAACCGGAACTCATCAAACAGATATTAGTAAAAGATTTTCATATATTTCCAGATAGGATGTCCATCGAATACCCGCACCCAGTGATCGGTAAAAATCTCTTTTTCATTAACGGTTCCGTTTGGAAACGGATCCGATCGATAACGACTCCTGTGTTCACTTCAGCCAAAACAAAACGCATGTATCCATTGATTAACAAATGTTGTCAAAATTTAGACAAACAATTAGGTTCATTGGCTGACCAGAAACTAAACGTCGATTTGAAGGAACAGTACTATAGATTTACAATGGATCTAATAACTAACTGTGCTTTTGCTACCAAATTTAAGGATTATAAAGAAACAGAAAACAATTTATTCAATGATCGAGTCTTAAAATTAAGTCATTTCATTGAAACAACTTATTTGATTCATCTATTTTCCCCTAAATTGCTAATCAAAATGTTAAGTATTTTTGGTGTCTTCAACAGCGAATCTACCGATTATATTATCAATTACTTACGCCATATATTTAATAATCGCCGTAAACTTAACAAAAAATACTACGATTTGATTCAATTGTTTATTGAAGCGGAAAAAGTGGACGAAAATGTCGAAACAAATGATATAAATAAATGTATGAATTGGATAAGTAATAGTCAAATAATATAATTGTTTTGTTGTAATTATAAAATTAATTTATTTAAAATTTAAATAATTATGTTTAGGTGTTGATCAGGAACTACTACAACCACAGGTTGAAAATCTCAGTTTAGATAATAGAAAGCTGACTGAAAACGAGATAATAGCCCTGTGTTTAACCGTATTAGTAGCCGGTTTTGAGACCAGTGCCACCACTTTGTCATTCTGTTCGTATGAATTGGCAGTCAATGAAGACTGTCAGCAAAAACTATACAAAGAAATCATGTCTACCATTGACTCGAATGATGAGATTTGTTACAATGATTTGTTACGACTGCCATATCTGGATGCGTGTATTACCGAAACACTTAGACTGCACTCACCAATCATAAGATATGATAGACAAGCCATCAAAGACTATAAACTGGGAGACACTGGTATTACAGTATATAAGGGCCAAATAGTTGACATTCCTATCTATGCTATTCATCTGTCAGAAGAATTTTATGCCGATCCCCATCAGTTCAATCCGGAAAGGTTTTTACCCGAAAACAAGAATAAAATTATTCCCTATACATACCTGCCCTTTGGTGCCGGTCCTCGCAATTGTATTGGTATGCAATTTGCATTAATTGCTATTAAATTATGTTTAGCGAAAATCATACAAAAATACCGGTTCTATCCGACCGACAAAACAGATATTCCGATTAAATACAAGAAATCTATTGTAACGGCCGCTGAAAATGTTATCGTCGGTATTGAACACAGAAATTGAAAAACAAAACTATTTTTAAATGATTTAAATTAATGTTTGATTTTACAGCTGTTTAACTCTATTTTTCAAAACAAAATTTTTAATAAAACATTATTATTTATTATAATTAATTATTCTAAAAATATTTTGTATTAATTTTCACATAAAACATTTTAAAAAAGTAATAATTATAATTTTATTAGTTGAATAAAACTGTAGAAATTAATATTTCTAATAATTAAAAATAGTTTTATTTTCAATACCTATATATATATATATATTATTAAATGAACAATTTTTTGTCGCTAACTATCGTTAGTTTTTATGGCACTATTTTGTTTAACTGCGTGAGCTGTTCACCGGTCATCGGGTCAGTGAATGTCCACATTTTAATATCTGATATATCCGACGGTTGTTCAGCCATTTCTATGACCTACAAGTATGTCATGTCTTTCTGTTACTGAATACTCTGTTGGTATAATTYTGAGATAGACTTCCTCGCACTGGTATAGCACTGGTATTATCGCATCAGTTTCTGTGGGTTGTCTTGTCTGAGGAACTGACCTGAAACTTATGAAACCATTTCTATATATATATATATATATATATATATAATACAGTATAATGTTGTTTTGATTGGGTCTAGTACAAATTTTTATTTAATTTATGATTTTAATGTTAACATTGGTATCATATATAAAATTATTAGAATCGTTTAATTAATAAATAAATATATATCATGTGAAACATTATAATAATTAAAATATTTTTACTAGGCTAAATATATTGTAAAATTAAAAAGACGTTTAGTTTTAAATAATATTATAATTTAAAAAGTTTAAAAAGAATTAATAATTTTATTGTATGAAAATTATGAAAAACAATTATTTAGTAAAAACTTTTAAAATAAATGCTTTGTAATAAATAATTACTTACAGTATTTTATTATATGATAATACAATTTATTTTTATTTTATTTTTTACTTATTATTATAATGTTTTTTTAATTAATTTTTGCCGTTTATAAATAAAAGTTATAAATGGGTTTTCAGTTAATCTGTTTAATCTTATATTTTTAATAACTAGAAAAGTATAAGAGCTAATTAAATTCTGTAAAAAAGTAAATTAGATTACTATATACGTGTGATATTTGATATATTATATCATATTTTTATGTAATGTGATTTTCACATTTTTAATAAGCCATAAAAATAAAAAATAAATAATAATCCGATTTTGATGATTCGTCTGGAAATGCTTTCTAGCATTTTCAACTGGGTTTTCTGTGCATTCTCTCTCTCTCTCTCTCTCTCTCTCTCTCTCTTCATTTTAACCTCTCTTTTCTATTCAATCACTTGAGTGAAAACACATAAAATTATTATTAAATAAATGATTTGATTATCGATAACCATTGTCTTTCCTCATTCATCTCCGTCTTCATCATCAACAATATCAACACTGATCTCACAATTATTTCAATTATATTATTAGAAAGCATTTATTTAATATATTTTCTTTGAATTAGTGTTTTTCATAACTATATTTCTATAAAATTATTTTCATTGACTTGTTATTAATAAATTTTAATAATATATCAATAAATTATAATAAACTTATAACACTTAACATGACTTTTAAATATTAGTATACAATATAAAAACAAAGTTAACATTTAGAAATATTTGACTAATAGTTATTTGACTAATTTAATAATTGTGTAAATAATAATTATATTATTAATAAAGTTATTTTAGATTATAAAATGAATCTATTATTACTATTAGTTTTAGTTATTTCAGTAGTATTTGTATCAGTAATACTATGGATTTATTGGTGCATATAAATATATACACAATATTAAATTTATTTATTTTTAATTTATTATTATTATTATTATGAAACAGGTATTTGACACAAAATGTTGACTATTGGGCAAAACGCGGTGTTAATGGACCCAAACCGTGGCCTATAATTGGCAATTTGTGGCAAATATATATTCCTCCATCTAAGATATTTACAGAAATTCAATGGTTAAAAAAATATGGCAAAATATATGGGTAAATAAAATAAATATAGAATATATATTAACAATCAATCATATATTGTTTATAACCAAACAATTAGATATATTGGCGTAAGTGGTCCCACACTAGCCGTTGCCGAACCCGAACTCATCAAACAAATATTGGTTAAAGATTTCCATGTATTAGGCAATAGACAGGACTACAAGATTCCGCATCCAGTGGTAAGCAAAATGTTAGTCAATCTCGATGGCGATGACTGGAAACGGGTCCGATCGATAACATCACCGACATTTAGTTCCGGTAAAATGAAACGAATATATCCACTAATGAAACAATGTTTTGATGACTTTGTCAAACATTTGAGTCCATTGGCTGACCAGAAAGCAAACATCGATATGAAGATACAGTTCAGTAACGTTACATTAGATTTGATATATACCTGTTTTTTTTCTACAAAACTTAATATACATAAAGACACAGAAAATAATGTGTACGTTAAATATGCTACCGAAGCATTCAGTAATAATAAGATGAGTGAGTTAGCGCACCTGGCGTTTCCTAAAATATTAATCAAATTGCTTAATACAATGGGTTTATTGATGAACTTGTCGACAGATTTTTTCATACAATCTGTTCGACAAATACTTGAAGATCGTCGCAAAAGTGGCCAAAAATATAACGATTATTTCCAATTGCTTATCGATGCCGAAGAGGATCAACAATTTATGAGACATGAAATCGATGACAACGAAGCATATTATCTAAATCAAAGTCTGTATAAAAATTTCATATATTTTAATATATAAAGTATTAAAAAAATACTTAGTTTTCTTTAAAAATTATTATTATTATTAACTTAGACGTCGAGGATCTGGAATATCAAAAACGTGAGCTTAATATAAAATATGATAATAAAAAGTTAACCGAAAATGAAATAATTGGACAGTCAGTTATGACAATATTAGGCGGTTATGAGACCACAGCCACAACATTAACATTCTGTACGTATGAATTGGCACTCAATCAGGACTGTCAACAAAAATTATACGAAGAGATTATGTCTGCCATTGACTCGAAAGGACAGATCAGTTACGACGAGTTATTACGACTGCCATATCTGGATGTGTGTCTTATGGAAACATTACGCATACATTCACCGCCACAACGAACTTCACGAGTAACTACCGATGACTACAAACTRGGAAACATTGGTATTACACTAAATAAGGGACAACTCATTGATATTCCTATTTATGCTATTCATCACTCGGAAAAATTTTATGCCAATCCTAATGAGTTCAAACCGGAGAGATTTATGCCCGAAAACAGACATAATATCATTCCCTATACATACTTACCTTTTGGTGCCGGTCCTCGTAATTGTATTGGTATGCGATTTGCAATATTTGAGGCTAARTTAGGTTTGGCGCAAATCATACAAAAATATCGTTTTTTGCCGACTMATAAAACAGATATTCCGTTTAAGATTAAGTATTTTCCGTCTATTAATAGCCCTAAAAGCATTATTCTTGGTATTCAACACAGACATTGAAAATTAATTGTTTATTATATTAATTATACTAATTATGGTTTATTGCTTATTATTAATATACAGTATATATTTAATTTAATTACTAAAATAAAAGAAATTTTTTTTATATTTGTAAAAATATTTAGTTATTAAAATAATTGATTGACACTAAATGTGACACAATATTTAAATGATTATATAACTATTTTTAAAAAAATACTATTCAACTTACTAATTGGTCTTTATGTTAATTTCATATAATATTATAGAGATTTAGTACATTTATTGCATTGACATTAACAACATATTACAATATTATTTGTTTACTGTATTACAAATTTGAGTGCATTTTGTACTTATATAAACACAATTATGTGAATACAGTAGTATTACTGTATGTTTGACTGTATGCACGCTATATGCTTAACTTAATTTTATTTATTTATATTAATTATAATTTATAAAAACTAATATATTTATTATAATACATAAAATTTAAATCTTTAATACAATTAAATAATAATAATTAATTTAATGTTTTTATATCTGGTTTAACGCCACTAATGTACTAATATGTTAATGATTTTGAAATATTTAATATAATATATTTTTATTATTTTGAAATAATATTATGATAATAATTATTAAAGCAAAAGTTTATAATACTAAAAATACTATTTTAAAAAAATTTTGTACTTAAAACTATTGGTAATTATCATTGGTTTTTAAGAACTAATCATATAATATGTAGACTTGTTTGTCAAGGTTTTTATCAATAGAAAAACGTTATATAAAAGTGTCGTCAAATTATTATTAAAATATAAAATAGTAAATCATAACTAAACAAAATTTCAATTGAATTGAAATTTTATTTACTTAATTTTTTATGATAAATTATATTTAGTGAATATTATTTTTAAACTAACATAAATTATTATTATTATTACTTAAATTACTTAATTAATTATTAATAAGTTAATTAATAAAAAAAAAGTTTTAATTACTTAATAATTTTAATATTTAAAAAATGGAATTATTTGTTGAAAGTTCCTGGCTATTTTACGGATTACTGTCATCTATACCCTTATTATATTGGTATAGTTTTATTATTATTTTATTAAGAAAAAATTAATTTTGTTAATAAAAAAAACATTATTACAATATTACATTTTTCTCCAATATTAATTATTATTAAATTATTAACAGGTATTTTACCCGAAACTTTAATTATTGGAAATCGTTAGGCATTAATGGTCCGAAACCGATCGTAGGCTTCGGTACATTACTTTATCAATTTTTGACACCTAAGCCATATCTTGAGTTGGAATGGTATAAAAAATATGGCAAACTCTATGGGTATGTAAAATACAACTAATTTTTTTACTTTAACAATTGCTAAATTATTATATTTTAAATATAATTATTTGATAGTATACTAAATGGCTCAAACCCTGCCCTAACCATTGCCGAACCGGAACTCATCAAACACGTGTTGGTCAAAGATTTCAACTCGTTTGCCGATCGGACGCGCAAACGGCGCATACATCCCATACTAAAGCATCATCTGATTGAGTCTAGCGGTGATGATTGGAAACGATTGCGATCTATCATAACGCCTACCTTTACGTCGGGAAAGATGAAGAAAATGTATCCAATGATCGCCGACTGTCTCAACGATTTTGTTAACGCACTGGACGTTTATGCGCGGGACAAACAAGAGGTCAACATTAAGGACATGTACGGTAACTTTACAATGGATGTAATAGCTACCTGTGCGTTTGCAACCAAAACCAATACACATAAGGACCCGAACAATCCGTTTATGGTCAACACGTTGAAGATATTTAATCCAAAACTGTACCGCATTTTGCCGGCTATTGTTTTGCCAAACTTTGTCCAGAAAGCGTTAGGCTTTTTCGGTTTCGACGAATCGGCCAATGATTTCTTTTTTAATATCACTCGACATATCATTAAACAGAGACAACAGTCGGGCACCGGTAGTAAACACAACGATTTCATACAACTGTTGCTTAATATTCAAAATAATAACAACAATAGTCATAATAATCATAATAAGCTCAAAGAAGATAACGACAACAACGAAGCTCATTATGTCAATGAAGGTAACAAATAATTGACATTAAAAACTACAAAACTTAAGCTTTTATTTGAATACAAAATATTATTTATATTATAGGAGAGGAAGAGTTGGCTGTCGAGAAGCGATTGTTGACCGAAACAGATAAATACATTACCGAAGAGGAAATATTGGCCAACGCGTGGATCTTCTTTCAGGCCGGATATGAAACGACGGCATCGACACTGACATTCTGTACATACGAATTGGCACTGAATCCGGACATTCAGGAGAGACTATACGATGAAGTGATGACATCTGTCAACAACAGTTCCGGTAATATTGACTACGATTTGTTGGCCAAACTGCCATTTTTGGATGCCGTCATCTCTGAGACATTGCGTATACACTCACCGGTACTACGACTCGGCAGAGCCTGTTTGAAGGACTACAAGTTGGCCGACACTGGAATTACTATCAAGAAAGGACAGGCCGTCGAGATTCCTGTCTATGCTATTCATCATTCAGAAGAATATTACGAAAGACCTTCGGAGTTCATACCGGACCGCTTTCTGCCGGAAAATAGACACAAAATTATTCCCTACACATATCTACCCTTTGGTGTCGGTCCTCGCAATTGTATTGGTATGAGGTTTGCACTAATGGAGGCTAAACTTGGTTTGGCTCAGATAGTTAAACGCTTTCGGTTTACCCGAAACCGACAAACGGACGTCCCGTTTAATCTGAAAAAGAGTCCGATTCTGTTGTCACCTAAACGAGTGGTCGTTACTATTGAGAGACGGAATTAAATTAAACAAAAATTAGACAAAAATTACTAATTTCCATAAACTTAGTCATAAATTATATGTAAATCATTATCCATATAATGTATAATTTTTAAAAATTGTTGAACTTATACAAATATATAGTATAAATTTGTATCTTTGTATATATATATTTATAACTTAAATTTTATTAATAAAAATACTATTAACTAAATGTCAAAATGAAAATTGTTTTATTAGATTTATTTAGTACAAACATATAAAAATTAATCTTACAAATGTTAGTATACTACTTGTAAGTATCATATGTTAACTGCAAATAATAAACTTTAAAATTATTTTTAGATATTTATCGCTTAAATTATAATAAAATATCTTATATTTAACGTTTATTTATAATTTTATTAATACATATTATTGTAAAATAAAAAATTATTTATGTTGTATATAAATGTTAGATGTTAAATATGTTACAATTAAATAGTAATAATTTATATAATTAACATTTTAATATAAATAAACATATTTATTATATAAATTAGATTACCGGTAATACAAAAAAATTATTTGTCGTTTAATTAAAACTAATTATTAATTGGAATATAATTTTTGTACTAAACATAAATTTATTTATATTTATTTTAGGACATTGTGAACTTGTTATTAATTTAGTAAATTAGATAATCTATTGAATATAGTTTAGTACATTTTTTATTACTATATTTACTTATTTTATTATATTACATATAACTTAATAGCTATTTTATTTATTGTATAGTTAGTACATTTACTTAGATAATATAGCGTCTATCTTATTTAGTACATTATTAATTTGATAACATGTTTAAAGCAGTAAAAGTATCATAGTTTCAACATTTTTAATTGTTTATATGTTTTAGTGATTTTTATCAGTTGTTTATTAAAATTATATAAATATATTAAATTTTATTTTCTATATTTATTTCATTAATTAGTTTTCATAAAAATTATTGTTTAATTTACAGTAATTTGAAACAAAACATTAATTATGAATATATATGTAGCAGACTATTGGTTTTTCTATACAATTTTATCGGTTATTCCATTGTTTTATTGGTATGTACTGTACAGTTGAATCTTTTTTAAAAAAAAAATCAAACATTAAAAATATAAAATATTATTTTATATCATTAATATCTTAATGATTTTATAAATTAAAAAAACCTCCCAGGTACTTTACACGAAATCATAGTTATTGGTCGAAACATGGAGTCAATGGTCCCAGACCAGTACCCATTTTTGGTACAATGTTGTATCAACTATTTAAGCCAAAACATATGATTAACATGGATTGGTTACACAAATATGGCAAACTATATGGGTATATATGAGTATATTAATTAATTATTTCAGTAGTTTGAAAATACTATTTGTATAAATGCTAACTAAAATGATTGCTTTTATTTATGTTAACAAACAGCACATACACCGGCAATAAACCTATACTTCAAGTGGCGGATCCCGATCTCATCAAACAGATCTGTGTGAAAGACTTTCACGTATTTACCGATCGCGCGACAAATTCGCGCAGACATCCAATACTGAGTCGACATTTGGTTACAGAAACTGGTGACGACTGGAAACGTATCCGATCTATAGTTACGCCAACATTTTCATCGGGAAAGATGAAGAAAATGTATCCATTGATCAGGAAATGTTTGCAAGACTTTCTCGACACACTGGATGTCAGAGCCCGTAGTGGTCAGGAAATGGATGCAAAGATAGCTTACGGTAACTATACTATGGATGTAATCGCTTCGTGCGCTTTTGCCACCAAAACCAATACCAACGTTGACCAGAACAGTCCATTTGTGGTGAACGCACAGAAAGTGTTTCGACCCAATATGGCTAAAGCACTGGCCATTGGTTTGATGCCGACATCTCTACTCAAGTTGATTGGCATCAGAACTCCTATCGAAGAGAAGGCCAACGAATTCTTCTTCAATATGACCCGACATATAATGAAAGAGCGAAGTAATAGCAATAAGAAATACAATGACTTTATTGAACTGTTAATGAATGTCCAGAAGTCTAATAATAATAATAATAATAATAAAGATGTTATCATTAATGAAGATAATGATAACACTGAAGCACATCACGTCAATGAAGGTATAGTTTGTTTGATTTTTTTTTGTTAAATTATTAAATTAAAATATATATTATATTTTGTTTTTTTTATTGTTTAGGAGAAGAGGAAAAATCAATCGCAAAGAAAGTCCTGAGTTCTGCCGACAAGTACTTAACCGAAGATGAAATACTGGCGCAGTCGTGGGTTTTCTTTGTTGCCGGTTATGAAACAACGGCCACTGCATTGACATTTACGTCGTACGAGTTAGCCATTAATCCCGAGACTCAAGAAAAACTTTACAAAGAAATCATGTCCGCTGTCGACGCCAAAGGAGAGTTAGACTACGAGTTAATGTCAAGACTTCCGTATTTGGATGCCGTCATATCCGAGTCGCTACGATTGCACCCGCCGTCAGTCCTACTGATCAGACAGGCAGCCGAAGACTATAAATTAGGTGACACTGGTATCACATTATATAAGGGCCAACAATTGGAAGTACCTATAAATGCCGTACATCTCAGCGAAGAGTTTTATGAAAAACCATTGGTATTCAATCCGGAAAGGTTTTTGCCGGAGAACAGGCATAAGATTAAACCATATAGTTATATACCGTTTGGTGCCGGACCTCGCAATTGCATTGGTATGAGGTTTGCCCTAATGGAGGCTAAGCTGGCATTGGCTCAGATAATCAAAAACTACCGATTTGTACGTACCAAACAAACTGATGTACCTCTACTGTACAATAAACACCCGTTCCTCAGTTCAGCCAAACGTGTAGTGGTTGGCATTGAATTGCGTTAAGCAAAAAAATCAATAATAATAATAATGTTATATAACTATTTATTTAACTAAATTACTTAATTAGAATAATTGTTTTGGTTATGTAATAAATATTATATTACTTTATATGTTGTCTATAATAAATAATTAAATTTTTTATTTTTAAAAGTTGATATTAAAACTTATTTTTTAAAATTATCAATAAATGCAGTTTACTTAGTTTATATCAAAACATTAATTTAATTAATATATAATATTAAGTAATATATGCAAAACTTTTATATACTATAATAGCTATAAATATTAAAATAGAATTTATCAAAAAATAACTATTTAATAAAATAAATAATTTTAACAAATTTGCAAAAAAACATATTAATATATACAATTTGTATTCAATATTATAAATATTTTTTGCACTACTAAATACATAATTAATAAATTTTGCTGGTCATTTTAGATCATATTATATTAAAAACAATTAATTACACTAAAGCACATAAATAATTTAATTTTACAAATTTTATTTACTATTTTTGATGAGAAAAAAAGTTGACAACAAAATAAATATTTTTTTACTCTGTTTAGTACATTATGTACTATTTACACTAATATAAATACAGTATAACTTATAAACACAGTAGTTGCTATAATTAATATAATACCGGTCTATTATAATAACATTTTATAAGTCAAAAATATAGTGATACTAACAAATCATTTGCATCAAATGATCAAGGTCATTTGTGTAATAATTATTATAGTTGATAAATAAAAATAAAAATTGCACTGAAGCTTTATACAATGCTGGAAAACTAAAGTAATTTTTATCATAAGTTTGAATAAATATCATTTGTGTAATGATTATAAAAATAAGATAACGGATTACATGAAATAAACTATATAAACGAGAAAATTTGAAAATTTCAATAACAAACTTTAAATTATTTAACATTTGTCATATATACAGTATATAATTGTTTGTCTTAAATAAATAAATAATTTATTTATATAATTAATATGAATCAACTATTTGATAATTGGTCATTCATTTATGGTCTATTAGCTGTTGTACCCCTCATATATTGGTAAGTATTATAAATAATAAATAAATATTCATTAAAAATAATTATTTTCCAACAATTTTTCTATAATAGGTATACTATACGTAATCATGGTTACTGGAAAAAGTTAGGCATTAAAGGACCCAGACCATTTCCCATATTGGGCACAACGGCATACATGACACGTACACCCAGACAGCTATTAGCTATGAAATGGCAAAAACAATACGGGAAAATCTATGGGTATATAATATTATATATTAATAATATAAATAAATTTTTGATAAGCAATTATATACTGTAATAAGTAATTAAATTATTTTTCAATTAAATTAAAATAAATAGTGGTTTCGACGGAAACACTCCTCTATTAGTGGTCACCCAATCGGAACTAATCAAAGATGTTTTAGTCAAAGATTTCAATATATTCATCGACAGAGCAAAAAACCAGAGAAACCATCCGATTCTTAGTCGACATTTGGTTCGCGAAACGGGCGACGACTGGAAACGAATCCGATCGATAGTTTCGCCCACTTTTTCGTCGGGAAAAATGAAGAAAATGTATCCAACAATCAAACAATGTTTGAATAACTTTGTCGATGCACTCGAAGTCTATGCCCGAGAGAGCCGAGATGTTAACGTCAAGATCCTGTATGGCAACTATACAATGGATGTAATAGCTACCTGTGCATTTGCTACCAAAACCAACAGTTACAATGAGCCAAACAATCCGTTTATGATAAATGCGCAAAAAATTTTCAAACCAAATATTTGGCGATTTGTGGCTTTGCAAGTGTTGCCCAAACCTATACTACAAATGCTTAACATAAAACATTTGGCCGACGAATCGGCCAATCAGTTCTTCTTTGGGATCACCAAAAGGATAATCAAAGAGAGAAGTAATAGCAATAAAAAGTATAACGACTTTATGGAGCTATTAATCAACGCACAGAAATCAGTTACAAATCATAACAATAATAAGGATGACATTCAATACGATGAAAGTGACGCCAATGAAGCACATCATGTAAATGAAGGTACAGTTGTTTTATCTGAAACTTTAAAAAACTAATTATAATTTTTTTACTTAAACATACATTTTATGTAAATTTTAYTTTTATTCGTAAATATAGGTGAAGAAGAAAAGGCAGTCGAAAGAAAAGTGTTGAGTTCTGTGGATAAATACATTACCGAAGAGGAAATGATGGCTCAGGCGTGGGTTTTCTTTGTTGCCGGCTATGAGACAACGGCCACAACATTGACATTTGCCACTTACGAGTTGGCACTGAATCCAGACATACAAGAAAAACTGTACGATGAGGTGATCACTGCTATCGATGCCAAAGGAGACATCGATTACGACCTATTATCRCGATTGCCATACTTGGATGCAGTCATATCAGAGACACTACGACTGCATCCGCCAGCTGTCGTACTAAGTCGACTGGCCTCACAAGACTACAAACTGGGCAACACTGGTATCACTATTAAAAAGGGTCAGAGAGTAGAGATTCCCATATATGCCGTACATCATAGCGAAGAGTACTATGACCAGCCGTTTAGCTTTATTCCCGACCGGTTTTTACCCGAAAACCGACACAAAGTTAAACCCTATACGTATATACCGTTTGGCGCCGGTCCGAGAAACTGTATAGGCATGCGATTTGCTCTAATGGAGGCCAAACTGTGTTTAGCACAGGTAGTCAAACGCTATCGGTTTGTTCGTAGTCCTCAAACCGATATACCATTGATCTTACAGAATAGTCAGGCACTCAATTCACCTAAACGTGTTGTCGTAGGCATTCAAATGAGATAATTTGTATCAATTTTAACATTTATTTTAAATTTTCATTTTTGTATAAACATTTTACTTAATATTCTAATTATAGTCTCATTTATTTATCATTTTTTCCAATTTTAGACATATTTAGTTAAATTCATTACACTATTATTTTTTTATTAATGTTATTTAAAGATTTTAAAATAGTTGTTTTTGTATATTTTTTTATTAAAACAGACAATTTTATCAATATTAGATATATTGTTTGTTAATTGTATTAATTTGTATAATAATAATAAATTATAAAAATTTTAATAAATTGAATTTAATCATTTTAAAAATAAATAAAATTTTTGAGGCATTTACTAACTGTGTTGTCCAAATTATATTATCGAAATTTGTCAACTAATATATTAAATACTAGTTAATAAATAAAGTTTTTTTAACAATGAAAAACTAATACATACACTATTGTATATTAACAATTTATTTTTGAACTTCACGTGTATTTTAATTTAAATACTAAACTATTTGATAAAAATATTATTTGCARTTTGCTGTCCATTCAAACATATATCTAACAAACTCTTATACTTTTTTATAATGTATTTTTRTAATAGATATTTGTCAAAAAGGTATTATTTTTTGTTGTTGATAGCAATTAATAGTTTATTTTCAGACTAATTATTGATAAAATGCAATCTTTTTATAAAATACAAGTATTTATAGAAATGTCTATTTAGTGGCATCTGCTKTGACATCATTGGGTTTTTGGACTCATAGACAACAATACTATTCAAGAAATCAGTTGTATCGGCAACTATTGACTAACAGTAATCCCAATGTATTACAATGGGATGGATTGATGAGGAGTGCCCTAATGGTTGAGAATAATGCCCTTTACGATCAAATATACGATAAATTGGACGATAAGGTTGTCAGCATAAGTCTCATAGCACTCGACAGATCTGGAAGACATAACTTGGGTTTCGGTTGTATCGTTAGCGTCACTCCCGACCGGTGTCTAGTATTGACCAGTTATCACTTGATAGGCGACATTTCCTCWGTAATTATTGTGTTGCCATACGAATACAGAATTTGCGATATGTTGGCCGATCCTCGCTATCAAAACGAAACAATTATGACTGATTTGTTACAGGGAAGGGTAGTGTATGCCGATCAACAATACAATCTGGCACTGATCGAGTTGCCCGCAACAAAACCCGATATATTCAATGAAATACCGATTGCAACTGATCTTAAAACGGGTGACGACGTAATGCTTATCGGTAGGGCTATGAAACCATCGACTTTATCAGATGGCATCGTATTGACCGAAAAGATRAACAAACTGTCCGGCGGAACACTTGAATACCTATCGACGTCTGCACTGCCCAACGATTACAGCTATACGATGTGTACGACACTAATGGACATATCGTTTATCGGCGGACCAGTGGTTGACCAGAACGGGTCATTGGTTGGCGTTTGTTCGACACATTTGAATCTGACATATTGTGCGGCCATCAAACTCGACGATATTCGCCGTAAAAAAATATTGCAATTTTAAAATAATTTTTGTTGTTGTTGTGMCGTTAACTAATAGTTATGTGTTTTTCTTATTTTTTTTTTTTTTTTTAACAAACAAACAAATATTTCTTTAAAAAAACTAAAGAATTTTTGCATAATTTTCAACACAATAACCATTTTAAGGAACGACAGACAGAAAGAAGACAACGTTCTGCCAGATCTCTGGGTCTGATTGTCCAATACGTCAACAACAACTCATACCTAATCAAAGAGATACTACACAATGCACCAGATATTGTGTATGAAATATTTTTTATGACATTTAAATTTTTGTTTGTTTGTAATTTATACTGATATTTACAATTATTAAGCAATTATTTTGTTGTTGTTATTGTTTTTATTAGTAAAAATACAATAAGAGAAAATGACATAATTGTGTCAATCAATCAAAATAACATTAATTCAATCTATCAATTGAAAGATGCCGTCCATAACAGTGCCGACGGCATCATTGAGTTGAATATCCGCAGAGATGGTATCGAAGGAGATATATTCATACATTTTAATATCGATTATTTGGAGGAATGTTATTGTAATTGAAAGCTAAGGTCAACAAAGTCTTTCAGTTTGGATGTCTATAAAAATGACAATATTTTTTAAATATCTATATTATTATAAATAATTATTTTTTTGTTATATTTCAAAAATCATTTTCATATCAAACAAAAAAGCAAATATACATTATTTATCTTATAATTTATATTATATGTTTAACTGAAATTTTACTTATTTGCTTAATAATTTATAATATATTTTGATAAATACTATACAATATAATTTTTATATAAAAAAAGTGTTGATAACTAAACTAGTAATTTATTATTTTTATTAAAAAAAATTGACATCCCTACAAATTATWATTAGATACAATGTTATCACTAACATCTAAGTTTTTTGTTGCTATCAAAATCATAACTAAAATCAGCAAATGATTTAACCAATTAAATATAATGAGCATTTAATTGAACAAAGAAAATAAAATAAAATAAAAATAATTACAAAAAAATTTATGTTAATTTTTTATAAAACAAGTATTAAGAAAAAACTGGCTATTAATATCAATACATTGAGTATTGATTATTAGCCTATTATTATTAACTGTATATAATTTCTTAACTTTCAAGGCAAACAACTAGTATTAAATTTTTCTAATGTATATAATACTGTATATACCATAAAGTTTATTAATAAGTGGTTTTTAAGTTATAATGTTTTAAAATTAAAAAGTAATCAAATAGTATAAACATTAACCAAAAAAATAATAATATTTTTTCTAATATATCATGTATTTCTCCGAACTTATAAATATGTGCAAATATTCACGTCAATATCGCAAAATTATTTTTAATCATATGTTTAATTAATTATTTATTTAAATTATGCCTAGTTAATTTATATTTATAATGTCAGTAAAATTTCATAAATTATTTTGTTTTTTTAAAAAAAGTAAAATAATTTAAGGCAAAGGTATTTGTCATTTGATTTATTTTAGTATAATATTATGATGCAAAATGAAAAAAATAAAATAAATTATTTATATATTATTAATTTGTATTAATTAAACATTAGTTTCAACAGGTTTTCTCAAAACTAAAATATCAATAGATTTTGTCTAAAATAAAAATTTATTAATAATTTTAGTGACATTTCTTAATTTCTTAATGTTTTAATTGATTATATCATAAACAATGTCACAATCATTATCACAATTGATTCAATCAAAACAATTGCCACGAATTGCTTTGAAATGGATTATAATAGTGTTCGCTGTGTTGGCTATTGTTATCAATGTGTTGTTGTTGAACGTCGGCATCAATTCAATTGCCACTCATAGCATGTTTGACAGGACAGCAGACAATAAGACTGTTTATCGGGTGACCAAAATTTTGTTGGTCTTTGCGGTGATGGCCGTCAACTGTGCACTAGTTGTTGGCATAGTTGGCGCCCGAAACAAGAACATATKGATGTCATTAATATTTACAGCTATATTGACGATATTTTTAGTGTTGCATATTATTGGTGCCCTATTGTCGGTGTCGATACCGGTAACCGAGTCGTTGAATTGGCAACTATTCAATAATGATTACTATATGCTATGGTTTGTGGCCATTCACCTATTCATTGTGATTGTGTCCGCCATTCACACTGTAATACTCTGGAGATATCATAAGCAAAGACAGTCAAAACTGATTCACCGAAGACATCAAATTAGTGTATTGTAAGTGCAGTTAGTATTTCATTTGTTTTTTTTAAATAATTATTTTTGTTATACATATTGTTTTTAATAATTTTTTTTATAATAGAAAATCTAAGAGATATTATTAATTTTGTAAATTGTAAAATTTATATTACAAATTTTGAAATCTTTAGATAGAGTATAAATTTATATTTATATTTGTTTGTATTATCATTAAAATCACAATTAATAAAAATGTATATAAATTGTAGTGTATTTACATAATATTGTCGTTTGAAATAATTTGAAAACAATTTGCAACTAATTAAATAATCTGTATTTATTTCAATTTAATAGAAAACATTGAATATTTTAAATCAATAAATTTAAGCTATTAGTTAATTAAATGTTAATTAATTAATTTTTATTAAACATAAAACACAAATAAAATTATTAAATCTAAGTTACCAATTTATTAATTATTAATAGTGTTTAAAATATATCATTTTGATTAACAAATATCTACATATGATATACAGTATATTGTAGTTTAAATATACTGTAAATGTTGAATTCATTAAAATCATATTTAGATATAAAATATAGCGTAAAGTAGTACAGCATATATGATAAATAAAATATTTGTGTTATATCTTTATTTTACTATTATAGTTGAATTAAATTCTAAAATAAATTATCAGCAGTCAATAATTAATAATATATATACAGTTGATTAAAAAAAATTATTAAATAATTTTTATTTAATTGATAAAAATATAATATTTATAATGAGACAAACATCAGTGTTATATCCAAATGTTGTCAATTAGTAAAATAAGATAAAAAAAATTAAAATAATTCTAAGACTAAAATTCATAATTTTTTAAATAAAATAATATAATAGTATCGATAAATTCATTATTTTTGTGCCAACTTTTCGACCAAATCTGCGACCCGACTCTTGTCGTCTGTATTTCTAATTCTCTTTCCGATGGTTTCCATCTTAAGTCTGAGCTCTTCGTCGTTGACCATTCTGTCGACTATATCTATCAGTTCCTCTTCCTCACAGTAGAAAGGGCTGAGTCGGGCTCCGAGTCCAGTCTCCTGAAGTCTCTGTGCGTTATCGAATTGGTCGGAAAACAGCGGCAACACTAACATAGGTTTGCCGTAATAAAAAGTTTCGGTAACCGTATTGTTGCCGCCGTGAGTGATGACCAGATCGACTAACGGTAGTACAGCTGTCTGCGGCAAAAACGCTTCGCCCCACATATTATCGGGTAGTGAGTACATGTCATTGAGCGGCCCTTTTGACACAATAAACCGGTGCTGAGATTTGCCTAAAATACTTGTCAAGCGTTGCATTAGTTTGAGATAACCGCATCCAAACGATCCCATTGACAGGAATATAAGTTTTCCCGGTTTGTCCCGCAATTGCTCTGGTACTTCAAACTTATCGTTTGTATGTCGAATAACATTCTCGACGCGCAAATAATTGTCAGACAACGGATGCACTTCATTGTAGTCCAACTCATTGACATACATATAGATGTTAAGATACGGTGAATGCCGGTGCGGGTGCGGCCACTCTAGTGGTGGCGCTCCCTTGGATACCGAAAATTCGTTGATCATATCAAACACTTCCCGATACATTGGCTCCACTATGTCTGCGAAACGTTTCCATTCTTGTCGATCACCATCAAGTGGTAGACCTGATCCGGACGGCGGCAAACGTTTGTCTTTGTAAAAGTTTAACGGTCCGGCCGAGTACAACCAAATCCATGGTTTACCGCTATCGGTAACTGCCGGCATATCTAGATAATTATCACTTATAATTATGTCGGGGTTTAGCCGGGCTATCATTTCCCGGTAGTGAGGATCTTGCGATTTGATGTTTTCAAAAAACAATTTGAAACCGAGTGGAAACATTTTCTGCAACAAATCGCACGGATCGCGCGACTCAAGTATCTGTCCATTTTCGGCCATCCATTTTGGCCAAAACTCTTTATCTTCGACATCTCCGTGCATTGCAAACAGCTCTTCCTCGAAGCCATACTTTGATAGTTTTCCTTTGAATGCAACGTCCAGTGCGAACACTACTCTATGGCCGCGACGTACCAGTTCTTCGGCAATACCGTGACAACAGTTGATGTGTCCCCAGCCGTCCAACGGTGTGATCAGTACTGTTAACTTTGACGAAGACATTGTATTATTTATGATTTTTCTTTGTAGTAATAAATAAATTTAATTTAATATTAGTTTTAATAAATAATATTTCAATTAAAAGTAGTTAATGTAAAACTTTTTTTGTTTAATAGACTTTAATGTTTTGTGTTTATCTATTTATATGGATAGATAAACACTAGTGCACCAAGGTTATAATTTAACTTATGAGATAATTATTATTGTAATTATGATATATAATTTTTTAAATTTTGGTTTATACTGATAAATATTGTACCTTAGTTTGATTGTTTAGCTGATCTCAAATTGTACTAAAACAGTATTGCATTATAAAGTTAAGTACATTTGTATATTATTGATTGCATTTTAGTGATAATTTAGTATTTAGTAACCAAGGGTCATTTTAGTTATTGATAATTTAATATAGCTTTACATTTATAACAATAATTAAAATAATATTTTTGTATTAATGATAATCGACTGTATCTATTTATATTTTGGCAATAGTTCATTGAATTTATAGGAAATAATAATTAGGAGGTGTGATTCACATATTAAGTTAGAATTTTGGGGGGAGTGGGTTCAACAAAGCGTACTTTATCGAATAATTACATGCAAAAAATTGCAAACATAAGGGTGGAGAGGGTCTAGATTTCTTAAAAATTGCTAACACTTAATAAGTAAATCTTTTTGTAACTAAAATATCACGTTTATTGTAATAATTATATGAAATAAAAATTACGATTAAACATTTATTTTTTAAATACTCTAATTTTAATAGTTTAATTCAGATTTTTATAAATAAATAATATTTAAAAATGATTTACAATTTATTTGCTAACTTTTTTTACTAATCTATGATAATACAAGTATTTTATAAATGATAAAATCTATATTTTGTTATAATTAAAACATAATTTACTGTACTTTGGTTTTTGTATTTTGGTTTATTAATCACTATTGCAAATAAATTGCTTAATATTTTTTTATAATTTAAATTTGATAAATATTGATACTTTAATATTTTATCATTTGATTTCTTTATATGAATAAAATTGTATTATTTTATCTTATATAAAATATAAACCATGATTATGATTTTTAAAAAGTATATAAATTTCATGTATTTTTGATAACAAATAAATTTTAAAAAATTTAAAACAAATAATATTTAATACAATAGTTATTACATTTATGAAAACAGATGTTATAGTACATATTAAATTGATAATATATATGTGTTTTAATTTTTAAAATATTACTTATTGTGGAAAATTGTCACAACTAAATCAGTTATTATTTTTTCATTTATTTTCTATTAAATATTTATTATTAAATCAATCAATCTAAATTATTATACAGTACTTCACAACTCATTACAAGATTAATTGGTATAAATGATAATAACAAATATACTTTAGATATAATAATATTTTATAAATATAAAAATAATTAATATTTATAACAATTTTTATGGACAATAAAATGACAATTTATTTCAATCTAAACGTATAGTTTGTATTAAAAAATGAATTTTTCAGATATACTATTTCTGCTGTTGTGTGTCATCAGTAGTTACCACTTCTGTCACTTTATATTCTGATTACTATTGATGCCATTTCTTTGTTTGGTTTGACGGTGGAGGAGGTGGTGGTGGAGGAGGTGGAGGTGGCGGAAATGGTGGGTTTGCTTTTGAAGGCGATGATGACGAAGGAGGAGGAGGAGGTGGTGGTGGTGGTGGTGGTGGTGGTGGTGGTGGAGGAGGAGGAGGAGAAGGAGGAGGAGGAGCAGGAGGCTTCCTCCGGTGTCCTGGTAGAGAAGGGTTAAGTGGTGAACGAGGTGGAAATGGAGGCACTTGAAACCTCTGATATTTCTCTGGAGGCGGAGGCGTTGGATAAGATGGTTGTTGCCAATGAGGCTGCGGTGCCATTTGAATTTGATTATGATATTGTTTGACATGAATGTTAAGCTGTTCATCGGGACTCGGTTTCGGTGGTGTTTGACTACTACTGGTTGACGATTGACTATCAGTTGACTCTCGAGATTCAGTTTTGGTTTCTCTCTGTACGCCTCCAATCGGTCGAAGTTTACTTTTATCAAATGAACTTATATCTGATAGTATCTGATCTCTAGGTGCCAGTTGTGTTGCCCGCGGGACAGCATATGGATACTTATACGGTGCTGGCGGTGATATCTTGTCATTGATTTTAGGTTGATTGTCGACATTATACCAATTGGGCGGGTCTTCAACAGAACTAAACTTAGCCATATGTCTCGTGTCTTCTTCATTTTCATTTGATTCTTCTCCATCTTCCGGTGGAATCAATTTTACTTGACTTCCATAGCTGTCAGTTGACTGTTGTTTAATTGTTGTTACATTACTGGGTATTTGTCGATCAGTTTCCTCCCAAAGCGGTGACTTTGGTCTTTCATTTTGTTTTTTATGTTCCTCCGCAGCCAGATCTGCGCTGTCAATAACCATCCACTTTGGTCTTGTCTGTCCATAAGGTGTAGTCATTGTCGGCTCACCGATTGGTGGCCTCACTTTTCGGAGTTGACTTTTATCAAACTGTTGTATCGCATCCATATGTTTATCGTGAAGTGTCGGTTCGGGTGGAGGTATGACACGTCCGCCCGGACTTTTTAATGGCTGTACATTGGTATCCCGTTTGGGCGATATTCCGGGCACCGGTCGAAGCCAGTCCATGTTTTTATGAATTTTTTCTCTGTCATCATCTGTGAAACTTCCCGGTGCCGGTGGCGGCAAAACTGTATGAGATGGTGATATATGAGGATTTAGTGGCGAACTGGGAGGAGATTCTGATGATTCGCGAGATCTGTACGGTGGAAGTGGTGTTCCTGGAGGTAATGGAGGCGGTGTAGGAGGAGATGATGGACTATGTATTGATGATGTGGGAGATCTGTATGGTGGAGGAGGCGTTCCTGGAGGTGGCGGAGGAGGTGGCGGAGGAGGTGGCGGAGGAGGTGGTGGAGCCGTAGGCGAAGATGGTGGAGGCGGTGCTGGTCTTTTCTTGTTTATCGGAGGATTTATTTTAATAAGTTGGTTGTCCTTTTGTATACTTCCCAGTCCTCCATTCTTGTCGATAAAATTCAATATATAGTTCATAGTTTGTGGTTCATTAACCAGATGTTCAGCACCGGCTCTCTCGAGAAACGTTATTAAATCTGCCGGTGCTTTGGTTATTTGAAAGCCAAACTTCAATGTCCAACCCATTTGTTCAAAACGTGAATACTGTTTAGACTTTGTAGCGGTAACTATATTGCCGAACCCTTTTGCCTCGTCTTTGTAGGCAAAATTTAGACCAACCATACGGTCGGGTGCGTTGAATGTGTGAAACTGTGAGTTCTTCACCTTATACTCTACAGTGTGATGTAATTCCTGTTCAAAGTGTTTGCACTTTTTGCCGAAATCGTAGACTCGTATCCAAAAAGATCGTGAGCTGTAATCCTTCTCAATACTGACCACACCTGTGATTAATTTTTTCCATTTTTTATTATTTGGCGGATCCGTTACATACAACTCAGATACCGTGTCGTACTGTGACTGAGAGGTACTTTCAATAAGATTTTCCAATAATTTATTTTCGGCCTCCGATAGGATAGTCGACTGAAACATAAGCTTTTTTCGTTGATTTTGGCTCATCGTTAACACTATTATCAAACAGTACTAATCATTAGTTCCTAATCTAACTGTCAATTGAAATTAGTTATATAAAAATATATATAAAATACTAACTGTTTTAAAAAGTTTCATTTTTAAAAAAATACTAATTTGAAAATAACAATTTTTTTGAATCGTTAGCACGATGTTTAAGATTGCACTAAAACAATGTTTTTATGCATTAAATTTTACATATTATTATAATTAATAATTATCATAATTAAATTATTGAAAGTCAATATATAAAACTAAAAATATTTATTAATCATATAATTATTATATTTATAATTTATATATACCGATGTTCACTAACAGTAAGCAATTTTGCTAAATAAGATAATTGTGTGTGTTTGTTTAAATTTTTAAAAATTTAAAAATTTAATAAAAATTACAGTAAATATGTTTATTTTACTTTTTTTTATAAATTAATTACTTTTTTGATAAATATAATAATATTGTGAAAACTAGCTAGCTGATTTATATTGGAGAAAAATAATGATAAAAATATGAAATTAAATTTTATTAAATAATTGATTCATTATAACATTATTTGCTTAACGATTGCAAATCGATTTTAAACTGCAGACAACTTAAGCCTCGATGCAAATCACAATTGCATTCAAATGTTGAAAAATGTTGTTTATATGAACCAATAGTTTGTTGACAGTGTAAACATTTTAGAGGACAAGTAGGTGACGATTGAGAGTCACTGTCCAGCATATAATATTGATGACATATCAACTTTTTCATCCAGATTTGTGGTTCAATATAGAGATCACTGCATTTTGTGGTGTTATTGTTGGTGTCATTATTATCAACAATACTTGAATTTTGAATGACATGTATGTCATGAAACACAAGTTGATTGCATTGTCGGCACAGGTATTGTTGACCGTACTGTGGAGTAGACAGGCTTTCAATGTATTTCAAGCGATCATAATAGCTATCAAACCGATTGCTGACAACAAATCTGTCCAACAAATATTGTCTTAGCTTTGGATTGTTGGCATCCAATGTATAGTCTAACTGTTCGTAGAGTCGAAGTTGAACTTTGAATCCTCGATTAGGACCGGCCAGTGGTCGTCGCAATACAATCATTTCAATGGCCTCGTCAAAAGTTTTCCTGTATTTATGCATAATAAATGCCGTAACGGCGGCACCGCTTCGTGAAATACCGGCCGCACAGTGGACTAACACGTTCTGTCCTTTACGGTGACCTTCGGCTATAACTTGTCGAGTGATCTCCAAATGTGTCAATAGATCTTCATTGATGTCATCGTTCACTTCCACAGTAAAGTACTCAATATTTGGATATCTCTTGTACTCCGGTATCCCACCGGACATCAGTGTCAACACACGGTTTATACTGTGTTTGTTAAGTGTTTGTTCATCGGTTGCCGATCGGTAGTTACCGAAATATAAGTGGTCATCGATTTTGTTAACTATATCTCGCAATGATGTCATATTAGAAATACAATTTTCTTTTAATACAAATACTAATTATATTTCTATTATTTCAATGGATAGACTGACTCACTATGTTTTCTGAGAGCATCGCATGAAAAAAATAGTCTAAATATAGCAGACAGTCATGAATTCATATTATAGTCTATTTTAGTTCAATTAGTTGTGTATGTGTGGGATGAGAGTGAGTGAGCGAAATAGAGAGAGAGAGAGAGAGAGAGAGAGAGAGAGAGAGAGAGAGAGARAGAGAGARAGAGAGAGAGAGAGAGAGAGAGAGAGAGAGAGAGATTGAATGAATAGTAAAACTATGTCTGATAATTAGTTTCTAAATAAACACATTATTTTATTTAAAAAATTAACATTTACGTTATTTAGTTACAAAGTAAAATATCATAAAAATACAGTATCTAACTAAAAGCAAATATTTTAACTAACAAATCAAATAAATAGTAGAAAAAATAAAATAAACATTTAATACTAATATCAATACAAGTAATAGTTATAATAGTAACGCATGCGGTTTTTTTCTTATTTTTAGCGTTAAATTAAGTTTTCATGTGTAGCTTATATTAATAATATATATATATATTGATATAATCTTAATAATCAAGGTGACAAAGCATTGCACTTAATTATATATTTATATTTAGATATATTCAATAATATGAATGACATTTACAGTTTAAATATAGACTATAAAATACTGTATATTGTACTGTATATACGTTATACAGTATAAGTAAATAAGTAAAACAACTATTAGTCTTAATTAATTATTAATTTGAATAATTGATTAGTAAAGCATTTTTTATATATTTAGTATATTACAACTGTATTTATATATTTAATATATGGTGTATATATTGTACATATTATGTAGTATACTATTTATATATCATAATTTATATTAATATTATGCTATAATATGAATAATATAATATTATATACAAAATAATATATATTTATATCACTAACAAATTACTATATATATATATACAACTACTATATATATATTTATTCATTTAGTAAAAATTAATAAAACCTATTTTTAAAAATGTCAAAAGTTAATATTTATGGTTAAAAACATATTTAGCTAATGTACAATTTATAATAATAATAATAAATTAATAACAAAATACATATTTATAGAATAATACTAATCAAAATCTTATTAAAAAAATTGTTTACCAAATATTTAAATCTAATTTAGTAATATAAACAATTATCAATCATATAGCTACTAATATTGTATATATTTTTAAAAATGTATCTATGAATTTTTAAATACAATAATTTAGTTAATATTTATTTTTATATTTATATTAGCATTATTTATTTAAGCATTTATATTTATAATTTTATTTAATTATTTATTATGAAAAATCTATTTCAAAATTATGTTTATTATTATTTTTTCTTATTGTTGATAAACAAGTAATAATAATAATTTTTAATCTATTTATAAAAAATAAAAAATAATAAATAAGAATATATTCAGTATATATATAGCATTTAATCATAATAATTAATAAGCATACTTTTTAATGATACTCAAAAATAAACAGTATTTAAATTACAAATAGCTTAAAATATTTGATAAATAAACTAAACAATTGAAATATTTTAACAAATAAAGTTTTAATAAGCTTACAATAAATTTTCAATTTAAATTACAATAAGTTATTTATGTAAAAATTTAGTCAGTTTAATAAACGTATTATTTATATTTTTTATTCAACATTTTTATTACTGTTAAAATTTTTCACAAAAAAATCTAGATTATTATCATTTTTACTATTATATTATTAATTTTAGAATCTATTTGTTTAAATATAAAAATTTATTCACAAAATATTATCAATATTATTCAATATTTTATATTTGTTTAATAATATTGTATATATTTGTTAAATCATTTTTTATGTGTTGTCTAATATATTTTATATTTGCTTTAATTTATAATTTATATTATAAATTATTCATCATTTGATAGTTAATAAATAAATTTTACTGTATTTGAATATAAGAAAATAATATAACATTTTTATGTATAATAAATAATATTATATATATATATATTCCATATTATATATATATATGCAATCATTATCTATCATCTTTTCATTTAAATTATCAATTATTTTCTCTGGAAATCTAAAAATAAAATTATATTACAATAGTGTTTATAATATATACGTATATATATATATATATATATATATATATATATATATAATTATATAAATATTTTGAAAATAAAACATATAATTTTAATATAATATTATAAAAAAATATTAAATATTATTATAAAATTTATATAATTAAATCTTATCTAACAAAATAAATAAAAAATGATCTTTAATAATATAGTTATTTTTAGAGATTATATATGTACTGTATATTAGGGTTAAGCAAGTTTTTTTTGTCTAATGGGGTAATGGACATTGTCGATTTTTATTGCTTTTTTGAGTAAATTAAGATTAAATTAATAATTTTTTTGATTTTTAAATATCTGATAACATAAATATTTACAGTATAATTTATTATCATTATATTATTTATCTTATAATAATATTCAAGAAAAATAAATTATTTTACACATATAGTTCTCTTTTATGATTTTAGTTACATTTATTTATTAAAATAATGTTTTATTTAAATTTATTTTAACTTTAAATTTAGCTAAAATTAACTATTTTACTTAATAATTTAATCGAAATAAGTTATAAAACATAATATTAGTTAATTAACTAACTAATTATAATAGCTAATTAATTAAAATTAAAATTTTTATAATTTTGAAAAAATCGACGTCGACAAAAAGTCTGCTACTCAACAATTAATTATTTTTTCAATATGTTGAGGGCAGGCAAAAACTTTAAAAATTTGGTCTATTTGGGGGAGGGGTAAGCCGGCCATACCACAAACGCTTAACCCTTATAAATATTTAAAAAAATAAATTCATTAGTTTTATAGTATATACTGTAAGTAGTTTAGTATATAAATCATAGTCTCTGTTATCAAAATCTGTATCCCTCTGGATATCTTATATTTTCTTAATATTTTGAATATATCCTTTTTATACAGTAGTTTTCACATGTCAACTCTCTTTCTTTCTCTCTCTCTCTCTCTCTCTCTATCTCTTTCTCTCTCTCTCTCTCTCTCACACACACACACACACACACACACACACAAACACACACACACTTTCATATTTTACTATCCAAATGTCATTTTATGTTTTATATGATTTATCAGATCAATAATCTTTTTATTTATTTATATCGTAGAATATTTTATAGTCTCTTAAACTTACATTTAAATAGTTATCATTTACTTTATAATACATAATAAAATAGACTTAAATTTTATATTGATTAATATATTGACTCTTACCATGATTATACGGTACATACACTATAAATATGAATAATAAAATATAAATATATAGCCTATAAACATAAGAAATTCATAATCAGACTTTAATCTATATTTTTTTTTGTTTAAAAATAATATTTATATACATTTATAACTATAATGATATACAGTATACCAAAAATTAGTTTATTCTTTTGATGTTTTTAACTTAAAAAAAATGGATGAAAATAAATTATATTTTATAATAGAAAATAATAATAATAATAAAGTTATCTTCAATAATATTTTGCAAAATAAAATTTTCACTATCTGCTATCTACATAATAATAAACAGTTTATCCATGTTACATATAAATGGACTAAAAAATAATTATCTAATATATATTTATAAAAAATATAAAATATTTGATTTTTTTATTTTATAGTTTTATTTGATTTATACAATATACAGGTAGTGCTTTAGCTTTATATTTAAAAATAATATATATATATACTGTAAATATAGTATAACCTGATATCAATAATATACTGTACTTTAATATTATTAATATTATTTCACATTGAAAATAGGATTTTATTTCAATGCCACTAATAATAATAATTTAATAATAATTTATACATTTTATATTTTAATAATCTAACATTTTTATGAATATATTATATATTTTTAAAAATATTTATAAAGAATAATTATTCTGAAAACTATCAATTTTCAAAACAAATTGAAATTTAATAACAAAAATAAGTAAACTGATATATTATTCAATATTATCATTAAAAATGTTTAGATTAAAATGTGTATTAAAAAAATAATTAAAATCAAAATCAATAAAAAAATAAATTAAATATTTAAATAAGTAAATATTTTTAAAATTTTAAATTACTATTATTTTATAGAAATTATGTATTAAATATAACTTTAATTAATTTTTATAGTTTGTAATACATTTTATAATATTTTAAAATGTTAATGACTGAAATGATATTTACTATTTTATGTATCTTTTTATAATACATTAAACTTATAGATTAGTTTTCTATAAAAGTTATATCACAGAATTTTGTGAATCTAGGTCATTTTGATAAAATATTAGACAAATTTTAAAAACAATTATTTTTAATTAATGTATATTTTTAGAAAAATATTTTATGATTAGACAAAATACTAGATAATTAGAAAAATTTAGGATAAATGTAAATTTACTTGTATTTTAGTGAATATGTAATAGAGTAACCAAAAAGAATAAATATCTAAAATAAAATGGAATGAAATGAAATAATATTTTCTAGAAAGTTTCTATATAAATTTCTGTCTTTGAGATTACCATGTTAATTTAGATTTTTCAATTTTTTCTAATCTGATTTTACTATTTATAGCAATTTAATATATATATATATATATATATATATTACTGATATGTGAATTGAGTAATAAAAAATTGACAAACTTTAACACATCCACTCAATCCCTGCCGATTAAAACGATGGCATATCCTTCACATTATCACTAGTTTAGTAATTGATAACCAAAAAAATAAGCAAAACTTACTGTAAATTTTATATATAGGAATCCCATTTATATAGTAATGTAAACTTTATTATACAGTATTACAATAGCTACA